GTTAATTAATCCATATGGTTCAAGGTACTGCTGTGGCTCATGCGCAGCATAGTTTATGCATACTTCCTCGATAGTTTGATATGAACTAATATGTATGTGGAAGCAGTGGTATGAGCGACATTTAATAAAATATGTACGTATCGCTTATATAGGGTGTCAAAAGAAATTTTGGTGACTCCAAAAAAAAGCCTAAAATCTTGACTTGAGCGTTACTGACCTTTAGTCTGCTGTTTCAAGTAATATATCAATATCAATCGAATAGATCAATGTTCATGTCGTCCATTTTTCAGTTATAATAATTTTAATGCCATACTGTAATTTTAGTCAACCCTTAATGGTTCTGTTGTCTATATCTCGATATTTGCAGACAGATTATCTCCCACCATGAAAATTGAGTTATCATTTCAATGTATGCGAAGATTTCCTTCATCACGACACCAACAAAATCATCATGAAGACTATCAATATCACCACACGTGTTGGGCTTCAAAGAAGATCAACAACAACTGCAATGATACTAAGCGTCAGTTGTATCTAAATCATCCTCATACTCGATGCGTGCAATAATAGCTTCTGCTACATCGTCAAAGTGAACATGTGCTACTTTCAAAATTGATTTTCTGAAATCGGCTGTTGTATACCGACATACCCTGCGCTGCGGATGCAACTTTTTCTTCTTTTTCATCGCTTGTTTCAATTTATCGCCGCAAAGTATACACAGTTATTAAAACAAAACAAAAATAACCCACTTACTCGGGTTATATTACAAGATAAACTCATTGTAGATGCACTGGATACTGCTGCAACAATACGACGCTTTTGTCTTTCAGATAAGTAAGAAGCCTGTCATTTCGTTCCACGCTTCATTCGTCCAAAGCTTTTATTCCACGTTCACCAACGACAATTTGAGCTTCCGGTGACGGTTTGCAATGTCTGGTCACTTTGAAAACGAACCTGTTATTAGTAGTCAAATGTGTGCTAAACATTGTTGGATATGAAATAAGGAATACCTACTCCCTGGCGACGATAACCTCCTCATTCGACTCAAATTTCTGCCCGCCGAGTGATTTTTTCTAGTTTGGAAACAAAAATAAAGCACACAGTGTCAAATCTGGAGAAAACAAAGGATGGGGCAGCAGTTCGTAGCCTAAGTGGAAGAGCACTTTTTTCTTAGCCAAATGGGGCCGTATTTTCTGCAATTCGTCGTCGAATCGGTCCAATAATTCGGCATAGTCCAGGTAGTCGATGTAGATTACATCTTGTAAATCCCAGAAAAGGGTGGCAATCACCTTTCTTCGGAGCACGTTCGCCGGATGAACTTCACTGTTTCGACTGTTCCTTGGTCTCAGACAGCTTTCTCATGCCCAAGATTTCATGCAAAATATATCCCTCGTGCTCTTTTGAGATGCCTACTGTCTCAGCTATCCCGTTCACCCACAATACGAGATCGCGGATTTTTGTTACGTTATCCTCCATGGTAGCCATTTTCGAGGCAGCTGGGCGTGGCTCATCAAAAACAGACGTTCGGCCACGTTGAAAATCATTAAAGCAATTTTTGTCGGTCGCCATCGAAGGAGAAGAGTCACTGTACACAGCATCTAAGCGCTCTTTGATTTCGCAGCGCGATTTCCCTTCCAAAAACGAGAATCGAATCACTGTCCGATATTGCTCTTTTTCCTTTTTCCACTCACGGTCAAAACAAAACTTGAGATCGATTCGGATGAAATTTTGTACCACATGACAGTAAATTTCGTACATTCATTGAGCATATTCTGAAGGCTGGTTTTCTTGAATTGATGATGAAGGCAACGATGACCCCTGCACTTCAATCAGGAAAATAGTTCGTATGATAGTCATTCCTAAAAGTACTATCGATGATACCATGAAACGATACCAGTACAGTATAGCGCGTGCAATGCTTGTAGCCATCTGATTATTTGAGGTTAGAATTTTGTTGGACAATTTTAAAAAAAATTGACGGATTCTACATTTGTCGACACAACTCTGTTGAGTGAAGAGTCCTGGTGCAGAAGAGATGGATACTTGGATATACAACACATCAGCTTCGTTCCCAGACACAGTTTTAAGTGATTATGTACTGGGATACCGAATAGGACCTTAATTGGGCTACGAATTACCAGAGATGCTGATGAGGGAAATTTACCTGGACTTCCTAAAAAACCGGCTACCTAGTAGTTGAAAAATGTGGCAATATCTATAAGGCGAGAAATGGGGCTACAACAGTCTGGTTGCCCAGCATCATACGCTCGGTCTGACCGCGATCGCATGAATCAACGTTATCCAGGCAAATGGATCGAACGCCTAGGTCCTCCTAGTCATTGGCCACCAAGATGTCCAGACCTAAATCATTTTATTTTTGCTGGAGTTGCATTAAATACAAAGTCTATCAGAGGTGATTTCTGTAACACAACTACCTGCTAAAATCAGATGGACCCGTTAGGAAACGTCGCAGAGGGGATATTTTCTCAAACCACAAAGTTAAGTTATTAAAAGTTACAAGGCACGGATAACGGTTACTAGTTTCCATTTTGAGCACTTAATCTAGGTAAATTAATAAAAACTTCTCATTACAATATTAATCCTGTCACTTATTCTAAAATTGATGTAAAAAGAATAGATATACAAACAAAATGTAAGAAAATAATGACATTCTGAGAATCTCATGAGGCGTACTATTTTTAAAGTAATTGGCACGGTGATTCTATTTCATTCTATAATAATACAGGGCGTACAAATTGGTTTTCATTAAAATATTGCATTAGAATAGTTTTCATGGGGATTTCGCTAAAACATAACTAAAAAGCAACACTGATTTCGATGAAGCAATCGATTGTGAATATTTTGAAATAAATTCGGCTCAAAAAATTAGTATTTATAGAGACAATTTAACTAGACGAGTGTAGATCTCTAGTAACATCTTTTCATTGACCCTCAACAATATAATCCGTTCTAAAGCCCGATTCTACATTTTATTTAAAACAAAGACTATTTTTTGCTACTTACTTGGATTTATAACTGTGTACAGCAGCAGTTGGGCGTCGCAGTCTCTTGGCGAATTTTTGTCCTCTGCAGGGCGGCTGTTCCACATGCTGCAGACTGTTTCAATTACTGGCACATGTGTCGGCACATGTTGCGGCATCATATTGTATTGGTATCATGTATTTAAAGTACTTTTCTTGTGAAAGTCATTTATTATAGAGCCGTCGATATACATTTCGCACTATAGTATTGTATTCGTGAAAACGAATTGAAACCCTATACAGTTCTTTGCTAAAGGTCTCCCCTACTTATTTTTTGGACGGATCATGTTAGCAAAACTAGAATACGAATTGATACTATATTTGTTATATTGAATCACTTATAACTCAAAAACCACTCATCAAAATATAATAAAATATAGGATTCAATTATCAAAATATAATAAAATATAGGATATTCCACTTACATTATTTTTAATACGTCAATGTTTTTAAACTGAATGTCCCATGCTTTATTGGTGGACTCTTTTAGGAGAAGAAGATTGATATAACATACCATAACATTGCCAGTGCTTCATTTTGAAAGATAGTAAATTTATACTTTAGGGTTATAAAACCCCAATAAGGAAATTGAGAGGCAGAGGCATCACATGGCTCCTTATTCCATTTAAAAAACATCCCAAGATGACGGCCGCATTTTTAAGATTTTCAAATGTAACCTTTACGTTGAACTTTAGTATTAATGCATCACACAGTGATTCCTCCATAGGCCAAAAATCCCCAAAACTGATGAGTTTATAACGGTCTAAATGAGTCGCCAAGTTATCGAGTAGGTGCGAGGCTTTTAAAAAACACAAATAACAATGCAATTAGTTCAAACTGTCATTTACTTTCGTCCGTTGTAAGTGACAGCTTCTCGAGTCTAATTACCGGGACGTGTAAGTCATTGCAACTTACTTACCTTTTTTGTGGATTATAATTTCAAGCCTAGTGTTTTCACGTAATGATTAATGTGGAGGTACAAGTATATGGTATTGTTTACCTGTTTTATGAAAAAACATGTGATTTGGAATTTTATACAAATCTTTTATTGAAAGTTGTTTTTGCTAGATTTTTTACCTACAAAATTAATTCAGTTCCATTATAGACTTCTGGCTGCGCCTTGCAGTTATCTTAAAGTAGAGCTGGTCTAGATCAGAGCCATATAGGTTTCTTCTGCATCCTGCTGCCCCTTTGTGAGGTGCCGAAGCTCATATGTTCATAGTACACAAAAAGAGGTGTTTTCCAAATACAATTTTGTTGTTGTTTTAGGTAAATTTTTTAAGTATTCTGTTTCGAGGAGGACTATTCTTGATAGTTGGTACTCTAAGAAGGGTAGTGGTTTACGACAGTTACCTGTTAAAAAAAAGACATATTGTCAAAATCTGTATTTTATTTATTAAGTTAATTGTTTCCATTATAATGTATTATAAGTATTCGAGCTTATAATTTTTTTCAATATATCTTATTTGCCCTTATTATGAACTGTTTTATTTTAGTTCTTTAATATAAGGTTGATCTAAAACAATATCTCAAACAAAAACACTGAGAAACATTTTTAGATCCTACTTAGTATTTTAGAAGGGGAATCACTGTGTCGAATTCCAGCTTCCTACTTTAACCGTCCAAAAAATAAGGAGGAGAGGAACCTTCCTTAAAAGCACTGTATAACTTCTTAAGTTGCTGCTATATTATCACAATTATAGAACAGTATATTTAACTTGTATCTTTAGAAAAGTTTCACCTTTGTGCACTACTCTCACAGTACTACTCAAGTGTAAGTTAGATTTTACGTAGTGTTGTTACAGTATCGTCCGTAATTAGATCATACGTACTGTCACAGTAAGTAGATTACAATAAGACTGCTTTAACGTAAATTGTATTTAGATCCAAGTAATATAACGCTAAAGTAGTTAGTACCAATAAACTGTCGAAAGTACTAACGTATTGTAATTATTACAGTTCATATAAAAGAAAATGTCTTCAGAACAATTAAATGGGCCTGCTTCAGAGTATAGTTCATACTCCACTGTTAAGGATGACATAATTCCAAAGGAAACGGTAAGAGATGGTCATATAGATAAAGCAGGATTTGTTTAAGAAGCTCTTATTTATATAATTTATATTTTGTTCCGGGTAAGATATTTTAAAAAATGTCACGGTCAAGTCTTTACTAACTTTAAACAGAAGGTGCGACGGAGATCTTGGATATGATTTTGAGCCTCACTTTCAAGGTTATTGCAGGGGCAACCCGTGTTTTTTTCTAAATGAACCCGCTTTTTCACAACGGCAGTTGTAAATTTCTCCGACCGAATATGTATTAACATTTAAAATTAAGGTCTCTCCTCTAAAGGACAGATGAAAGTCAAATGTGTACGGAAAATGAAAATATCTAAAAGCTTAACAAGATTACTCGTGAACAAAATCAATGTCACTTTTATTAGTCAATATTGACCTTGAATTTGACCGTCAGCCCCTCCTTCAAAGTTATTTCCAGCTCAGCTTCGGGTCTTTCGACTGCTGGTATCAAAAACGGAAGTTATTATTTAACAAAAGTTGACTTTGAACTGATTTTGAAGATAAGGCTCAAGGTCAAACCTGCTACGAATTCTCCCTAACGTACCCTCACCCATTTGACTTTTGGAGGTGACTTTGGTCCTATATTTATATATGGACGCAGAATTTTCTTTTGCCCTTTGTCATTGTTGAAAGGGGGCCTTTCATCAAAAAAGGTTGACATAGGAATAAGCTTGAAGGTCAAATCTATAGTCACCATTGAACTCCTTGTTCGAAGTTAGTAAAGTCGTGACCTTGACCTATTTCAAAAATGCCTTACAGAGCCACCTCTTTACTTTGTAATAAGAGAACCAGTATTTAGTACAAGTAGAAGCACTTTCGTATTTTGGTGAAACTCTTTTCCTGTTCACTCTTCTTTACATTTTTCCTAAACGATTTCCCGGTTAATATATTCATGCTTTACAAAAAATCAGACCCTGTCAAGATTGAAAAACGCTGACGTAGGATCTTCGTACATATTCTGTACTTGACGGCTGCGACAGCCCCTTTATATAACCATACAATATTCAATAGTTTGGAGTTGATATTATGATATAAAGGAATTTCGCATTATACAAAAATTACTTAGTTATTTTAAGATGTGCACTCTGCCATATGTCCAGTAATTTTTCGGATACCCTATTCAAGGGAAAGTTATAACCACCCGCCATTGAGCTCATTCCCTAAGAGGGAGTTCGTTCATATTGTTTATGTTGTGAGGCTGTGCCAGTCACGGTAACTTTCATTCAGCAAACGCGATAAATAATATACAGAAGCCAACGCTAAGCGACGAAGTTCCGTAGCGTGAAGCCTAACTAGTTGAAATATGTAACTGCGTCGTAATAATACGTATACAATGTCGCGACTTTCCAGGATATCAGTGCTATAAAGCTGCATCATATAACGCAAAAGCTGCAGATCCATATTTTATTATATCGGCCATATATGAGATTACCCAATTTCATAGCCATCTATGTATTGGCATAGATTCTGATTTTTTTAATCAGCTTTCTTTGACTGGTGTAGTGTTGGAAACGAAAATATTTGTATATGTTGGTAAGGAACCATTTTGGGACCCATTTTATAGAACTTTCTTTTAAGACCGCTGAATTCCAATTAGGATTCAATTTTTTCTTTGCCATCTCAAGACCATTTGGGGGTGTCTAAAAGCTGAACAAGAAAGTGCAGCCTCCTGTCATTTGGGATTTTTGGTGGCTCGTGTATGCAATATGAGGGTATTTGTCCGTGCGATTTAGATGTCATTTCAGGGTCACTCTAACTGTCGTGTAGTTTTTGTGATCGCTGAATCCGATTCAGAGGACATTTTGTCTCTGGTGCGTTCAAGTTTAGGAACCAAGTCCGTCTTTCTGTCATGTGAATTTTGGATCCGATGATTCCGAATCCTGTGATAGTTTTTCTGTACTAGTTCATTTTTGACCGACTGAAGGTAAGGTTTATGTAAATTCAACAAAAAGTGATCTTTGTATAGTAAACAATAATTTGACCTCAAATTAATTTGCAAAGACCAAAATACCTAGTACCTAAAACCAAAATGGCACACGGTTGGTATCGATTGTATCTTTTGGATTTCTCCTTGAATAAACTTTTGAGTGCTCTACATATGCCCTCATAGACACAAACCGACCATTCATGGGACCCAGCGATCCCAAAAACTTATAACACATTGTTGACGTCCACTATTCAGCTTTATTTGAATTTTCCATAAAATAGCCTTGATTGATTTTCCCCTTGAACTTGCACAAACAAATAACTTCGGATGCGAATTCACCAAAAATAGGTAACCGAAGCAGGCTCTTCGACTTTTTGAGAAGAAGCTGGCAGGAAATTCATATGTTCCAATTAGTTTTATGTTGAGTACTCCAGCCCATAAATTAGCGCCGAACTGACGTGTCGGCGAATAGCGTGTGGATTTTTCACGCTCCGAGAATGAAAATTGTGCATGTTGTATTTCGGTTAAAGTTGGATTCATCTGTCCATTAAAAAAAGGCTTCATCCTTTTCGCACCTCAACATATTCTCACAAAATTCAACCCGTTGTACATAGTCGCTTAGAAGCAATTCTTGTACTTTTTGTCCATGGTAAGGACGTGTGTTCTCCGAGCGTAGTATTGTATGTGCTCTGGTGCTTATAGAGGAATATCTCTCGGCTGCTTCTATCATATCTACTATTTCGTCTGGGCGTATCCTCGGCGCTCCTATATGATGATGGGTGCCTAGTATGGGGCCCTCCATATACGCAATATGGACGCATAGAAATACGCGGTAGTCGGGATATACTGCCGGTTGTGGTCTACTTCTTCTAATCACATACTCCCGATACATGCGAGCAGCTGCCCGAGCATGACAGCACCATACTAGTAATGCATTTCCGCATAATCTCTTGCAGAATATGACATGAATCTACTCAGATGCCAAACGTTAGATACAAATTCCGCGCTGGACCGTTGCCTGACTAATTTCGGTCAGACAGAAGACTGGACGCTCCCGCACCTGGAATGCCGAGTTGAATCCCGAAGCTCATTAAGCTGATTCGGCTATTTACGTAAAAAATCCTCCATTTTGATCTTACAAGATGTATTACTCGCAATGCTAGTGCCTCATATGTCAAAATCCATTAAGTCGTTTGGACTGTAGCTAGTAAAATAGAATTTCTTGTTTATGGTACATGTATAGATACCCACCTGCGTCAAACATACATATTTTTTAAGGCGAGGCACTTAACGTAGCAAGCTGAAATTTTCAGGGTTTATTCCACATGAATTGAAATAGTCTTTACAATAAAATGAATAATAAAAAACAAACCAGATTTTTTTTACCGCCCTCCAAAGTTGAGGGGTGGAAGAGATATTTCAAAAAAAATAATTTAAGATTTTTTGTGTTAATTTCTAATCAGCTCTGTTAAATAGTGACATAGCCATTGCTAAAACAATCCATTTAGCTTATCTCAAAAAACCCGCAGGTTTAGTTGTAATTGCGATTGAAAGATCATTATCCCGTTTTTTTTCGAATTTTCACAAAATTGCAAATATCTCCTGAACTATAAAATTTCGGACCATACATATAGAGGTTCATTCAATAGGTTTTGAGCCCCTCTATCACCTGTCTTGGTCCACTACTAACTTTACACTCTGTAAACATTCGTACCAGTTTTCATGTTCTGGCCGAGAAGCAATCTTATCGACCATCCTACCAATCAAGATCTAGATATCTTCTTCTTCTCCGTCGACTCCTTCTGTAACGGCTTGTCGACTTCAGCTGCGTCAGCCTCCTATCTCCGCAGCCTTTCTGGATCTAGATGGCATGTTTTCAAATAATGAGTGAGCTTTCCGCTATCGATCGGTATCTGCTCAGTTTTGCTGAATGCAGCCGTTAGCGGCCATATGACATATATGTGGGCGCCCAATATCTTTCTAATACCTTTAAGCGATCGATACAACGGTGATATATTATTCAGCTCGTTTTCACAACTCCTTCGACAACTCTATAAATAAAGACATGACATCAACTACGTATTCGTACCACCCTGTGTTGTCACATTCTACATAAAACTTTGGATCATTCCACTTGTTAAATTTCCATAAATTTACGTCCCCCTCGCATAACCTCGTTTTTAAAATAGTATAGTTAACTCTTTATAGAAGGTGAATTATGTTAGCTGGATTGCAGTCGTGAAGACATGTCATCGATTCCTAAAACTTTTGCCACGGCATTCGCGATTTTACACGGGAAATTCGTGTTTCGTGAAACAAGGACTGCGACCTTCAAGAAGGTCATTTATTATATACCTTGTTTTTTTTGAACAGCATTAGTATTTGGTTGTAACTATAAGGTGATTTTTTAAGAGGTATAGGATTTGATTTTAAAAAAAAACACAAAAAAGATTATTTCATGTAAATGTTGGCCGCGGCTCCGCTTTAGATGGCCCATGCGCAAGGTCCAATTTTGGCACACTCTCTCCAACATGTCGGCCGGTATCTCACGAATAAATGCTTCAATATTGGCTTCCAGTGCGTCAATCATTGCTGGTTTATCCCTGTAGACATTAGCCTTAACATGGCCCCACAAGAAATAGTCCAACGGCGTTAAATCACACGATCTAGGCGGCCAATTGACGGGCCCCAAACGTGAGATAAACTGTTCACCGAACTCGCCTCTCAATAGGGCCATTGTTTCGTGTGCGATGTGGCATGTGGCACCGTGTTGTTGGAACCACATATCAGCCAAGTCCAGCTCTTCCATTTTGGGCAAAAAAAAGTTTGTTATCATCCACGGTAGCGCTCGCCATTCACACTTACGTTCCGGCCATTGTCGTCTTTGAAGAAGTACGACCCGATGATGCCACCGGCCCATAATCCACACCAAACAGTGATTTTTTCGGGATGCATTGGTAGCTCTTGCAATGCTTCTGGCTGGTCTTCCCTCCAGAATTTTGCTTGTTAACGTACCCATTCAACCAGAAATGAGCTTCGTCGCTGAACACAATTTTTCGATAAAAATGTGGATCTTCCTCCAACTTTGCCAGCGCCCATTCACCAAATTGGAAACGTTGTGTGAGGTCGTGTGGCCTCAATTCTTGCACCAGCTGTATCTTATAAGGTTTTACACCCAGATCCTGTCGCAAAATTTTCCACGTAGTGGAGTAACAGATGCCCAATTGCTGCGAACGGCGACGAATCGACATTTCACGGTCATCACTAACACTGGAGGATACAGCCGCAATATTTTCTTCAGTCCTCACTCCACGTCTACGTGTTGGTGGTTTAATTAATGTCCAATAACGTAAACTGGGTTCGAAATTTAGTCACAAGCTTCCGAATAGCTCCCTCAGTATGCCGACCAAATTGCCCATAAATTGGAAGCAGTACTCGATGCACTCTCGTTGTTCGCGTTGTTCGTTGGTAAGTCGATTCATGGTTAAATTATAGACCAAACTGAACAAGTTTGACAATAACACAAGACACGATTCACGCGTCATCTGTCAAAAACAGTGTTGCCAAAAAGATACTAGCAAAAAAATCACTCATTAAAACTACAGGTTCAGACCTAAGATGGCATATGTTTTAAGAAATAGCAAACATTAAAGGGATATACAGGAAAAACCAAATTTGTATGACGGTTTGAGTGTACGAGAGAGAATAGCGAGAAGTGTATATTAACACTTGTTACAAAGAGATAGAAGCCGGCTGATGAGGTCATCACCACAGTACCTAGCGACGGTGACGCAGAAAGTGGTACAGACTGCCGCCTTTCCATATGTTACACAAGAAAATGTTCTACTCGTACAATAGGTTTAGCTACTGTCAGACCCAAGAAGGAGGTGTGATCGAATGTTTCCCTCATGTATAAAACTGCCATAAGATTATCGCAAAATAATAGCAAAAAGCAAAAATTTCCCGTTACTTAGACAAGGGAGAATTTTCAGTGAAAATTGCCCAGTAGGTATCGAAAATTTCCCTATAGGTCCTTATCTATAGTTACGATAGACGAAATGTGCATTTACCAGCCTGACATGCGTACATTAATACGCTCTCAACTCCGAAGATATTCTACCGAATTACACTGGTCGGACAAAATAGACATGATAATTTTCCTTTTAAGCACGTTGTCAGTAAAAAAATGCATTCGGTAATTTTCATATTATGTTGAAATAATGAAATTAAACCTATGTTAAGACAATATGCTTCCATGAAAAATGATCAGTAATTTTGATGCACTTGTGTAATTGCTTTCGAAAATTTCCCGTTACCCTAGACAACTGGAAATTTTCAGTGAAAATTGCCCAGTAGGTATCGAAAATATCCCTTAAGATCCGTATCTATAGTTATGATTGACGAAATGTACATTTGTCATATTGACATGCATAGATATCGAAGTTTAAGAGTCGCTTTTTTGTTAATTTTTCTGTATTCTTATGAACCTACCTACAAAATGTAAATTTAAATAAAATTTGGGACTAAACTCGGGAAATATTCTACCGAATTACAGTCGTGCATGAAAATAAACCTAATAATTTTCCATTCAAGCATGTTATCAGTAAACAACCGCATTGGGTTATTTTCATATTTTGGCTCTTAAGTTCAATAAACTCAATAAACCTCAAATTTGAAAAAAGTATTAGTTTCCATTTCACGATGTTGAATATTGAAAAGATCTCCAATAGTTAATTATAAATATTAACACGTACAGTATGCTTAGTCGTTCAGGTGACCCATTTTGATCAAAAGATGCTTACGGTATGACATTACGATTAATAAAATATGTAACTATCTAATCAGCTATGCATCATCTGATAAATGTTTAGTAATTTGAACGAATCAGTGTTGCTCGTACTCTTTTCAATATTAAAGTTTTCCACTGTTTGCAATAAAACATACACATAGTTTTAACATCCGTTTACCGTTTCCTGAAAAAATCAAAAACTTACATAAATGATTAAATGATTTCTTCGTTTAATGACATTTATCTCTATATCTCTATCAGTAGCACCCTATTTTGCTGATTCCCGAGTGTTTTCGTCAGCTTACGTATCAACTACTTTCGTTTCTATTTTCTGAGAAATATTGCTGTATAGTTTTACCTTACTAGGACTATAATGGTATGTTGGGGTAACAGTTTGCTGAACTCCATTTTACCTCATTAAACATAAACGCTGCTAAGCACGATATTCGTCAATTAGATTGAAAGTGAAACTCTAGAAAACGATAAAAGTCGTAATGCGGCTAAAACTATTTTGTGTTAGCTAGTTAAGGTTGAGGGAATGCTGTATTGCGAAAAAACGGATTAAACTCGCAATATTCAGCTTGAATTTAAAAATCCTCTTCTCAAGGACCTAAGCTGTTCCAAAGTAGTGAACAAATGCGCCACTTCTCGATATTTCTCTTCATAACATAACCAAACACACGATTCACATGGATAGTTATTATTTAATGCCTCCTCCTCGTTTATGTTTTGAACCTGTGTAGTTATAACAGTGAAATTCGGGATCATTAAATTAATGAGTTGATACTATACTCCAACATGAAGTTAATAGTTTAAAATTTCGGTATGGTGGCTGGCCTATGCAAAATCGTCTCCTTGAGATCCCGTCACTGTGTGGCATGTGACGCCGCCAAGTTCAGATCTTCCAATTTGGGCAATAAAAAGTTACGGATCGTTGATCCGTTGACGGTAACGTTTCGTCCGAAGTCGCCAGTAAAGAAAAACCCTATAATTCCACCAGCCCATAAACCACACCAAATTGTTGTTTTTTCTGGATGCATGGACCAATTCTTATATGGCATGTGGCTGCTCATCACACCAGATGCGGCAATTATGCTTTTTAAGATACCGGTTTAGCCAAAAGTTAGCCTCATCGCTGAACACAATTTTTCGATAACACAGCGGATCTTCCACGAGCTGTTGCAAGGCCCATTCACTAAAAATTCGACGTTGTGGTAGACCATTTGGCATCAAATGTTGCACAAGCTGAATTTTGTAAGCTTTCAATGCCAAATCGATACGTAAATAGGTTGTGGAGCAACACATTCCCAACTGTTGACATCTGCGGCCAATGGATATTTCACGATCTTGATTAACACTGGTTGCTACGGAAGCAATATTCTCTTCGGTACGCACTTTACGCATGTGAGTCGATGGTTTAACGTTCAATAAAAAAAAATTGGTACGAAATTTGGTAATAACACTTCTAATCGTGGTTTCAGTAGATGGATTATGACGACTATAAAATGAACGTAACACACACATTTTTCATAGAGCACGAATTTTGGTAGTCAATCTCTATGATTTGCATTCGTCTTTCAATAATGGAATGGCATAGTATACTGAACAATTTTGACTTTGACAGATGACGCTTGGACGCCATTACATATTAGTGTTGCCAACATGAAAAAAAAGGTCGTAAAAAATCAGCTATCATAAAACATCCAGGTGCGAAATATAACGAACTGCTGTAAGATATTTTTCCTATAAGTAGCAATACTCCAATCACGCCAAAGATCTGATATACAGGTCGGTAATACCCTGCTACAGGGTGCGGCAGAGAGGATGGACGGTTTTAAAAAAATCATAAAATAGTTAATTTTTACTTGAAAACAAATTTATTGATAGAATCAGGTTCACAAGGAAATAGCATTTGAGACAGTCAAGTGTGGAAAATCACATCAGGCATGTGGTGGCCGAAATCGTTGTTGCAGTGCTGGAGGCATTCTTGGAAGTTGGCGTAGACTCTCTCCAACATCGCTCTCTCAACTTGGGCGACTTGCACGCGAATTTCGCCCTTCAATTCGTCCAGAGTTCGGGGCTTGTTCGCGTATACTCTAGCCTTGAGGTGTCCGCATAAGAAAAAATCGCATATGGATAAATCTGGGGACCGACGAGGCCAATGAACATCGCCAAACCAGGAAATAAGGCGACCAGGGAAGAGAGGGCAAATAACGTCCATGGATGCTCGGGCTGTGTGGGCGGTCGCCCCATCCTTCTGGAACCACACACGTCGGATTGGAATACGTCGCCGTCGTAATTCAGGGAGAAAGAAGTTAGTGATCATGTCGACGTAGCGCTCTGAGTTCACGGTAACATCACGACCATTACCGTCTTCGAAGAAGTAAGGGCCAATGATGCAAGTTTGCGATACAGCGCACCAAACCGTTACTTTTGGGCTGTGCAGCGGTCTTTCGTGTAACTGTTGCGGATTTTCATTAGCCCAATAACGACAATTCTGCTGGCTAACCATGATGTTTAGGTGAAAGTGGGCTTCGTCACTCATAAACAAAATGAGGTTCTCATTTTGATCGATCAGTGCTTCCATCTCACGTGCGAAGTTCATTCGTTGTGCATAATCTCCGGGCCGTAACTGTTGCACAATGGCCAATTTGTAGGGGTGAAAGCGGAGATCCATATGCAAAATTCGCCTTACCGAACGATCACATTAAGACATAGACCAATGATTAATTGATTTGTTAATTTCCTTTTTATTTCGAGAAGTGTTTGTCTAATACCAATACTGCGATAATAGAACACCCTGTTACTTTAGTTTCTCATAACCCATAATGCGCTCCAAATACGACAGACTAGATGCACAGGTCTACAAATTCCACTATATTTCATTAGTGTACGCCGAGAAAAAATGACTATGTATAGGTATTGCTCTATCTTTGGCAAACTATGAAAAAGCTATAAAAGGTATAATGCGCATGCCGTCAACTGCTTCTTTAAATTTGAATGTAAATATTTCACAATAAAAGTACGACCGTGACAGATTTTCTGCTATGCCAGTAATTCTTGTTTTGATTTCAAGCTTGATCGTTATCTTCAGGCGGAGCGGCACCTTTATAGATTTTCTACAGTATTGCTTGTGGAATGTTGTGCTCAAGCCACACAATTTCAACTGTAACATAAGTGATTTACTGTGCATTGAATCTATACGGTTCTTCGTCACATCCTGCTTGTCAAACAGTTCTTGGCTACTTTCCCTCTCAGGCACAACTTCAAAGGCAGCACAGTAGCGATAAACCGCCCCCTCCAGGTGCCTCACCCCCTGTCGGCTTTCCACAGCCTCAGCAGCAACAGCAGCGACCTCTGATAAGGACAGACAGCAGGGCCGGATTCCAGCCTCGCATTCCCTTCCAATCACCGCAGGTCCGGCCTCAAGTTAGACATACTTTCGGACCTCCAGGAACAATTCAACCCGGAACACCTTTCCCTCCAAGACAGCCTGTGCAAGGGCCCGGGCCAGGGATTAGATCACAACAACCTCCCTTTCAAAGTCAAGGACAACAGCCTTCAATAGTACAAGGTCAGCAAATATTTATTAAAATACAACTAATTGATGTACCGGGTATGTCATTGATAAAAGACGCCCGCTGTTACTCCGTAACCGTTCAACCTAGTCCTACTAGTAGAAACGTTTTATAACGTCGGTGGCTAAGAGATATTCCTGCAAATGATTTTCAGCTTCTTAAAATGGTCGCTATGGGGCGTAACACTAACCCCAAAAACTAAAACTTCGATTCATAACAAAAACACGTAACCAACATGTAACTAGAGTAGCTCTTTGAATTGGATTAGATCAACCTTAAAGTTCCGTCCGGTTTCAAACGATGGATAAATAATATAATAATTATTTATCAGTATTCACCAAAGTGATGGCAATCTGTATATTTAGTTTTTTTTTACTTTGTGTGTGCGAGAATTTGATCCAGCGTTGGATATCGTCCTCGTTTTTGAGGTTTTACGCTACATAAAATGTTTTAATCACAGAAATAGGTAATAGACAAAATATGCTAGGTCTAGAGCATATAGGGGAGAATTTCCCGGCCTAGCTCAGCGATTTTTCAACGGATCTCTACCATTATCATGCAGTGGTATATTGTTCTTTCTTCTAAACATCGTCGTCCTTTCTTCTTGGAGTATTATCTTAAATTTACCTAATTGCTGACAAAACTTGTGTGAATTTCATTCAATTCCAACAACTCAAATGTTCCACCATAGGCACAACATTTTCTTGCTGGCGTTCGAATTCTCTTTAGATGTGGAGGAAGCAGATCTTTCCAGGTTCACAGTATGTTTGTTCACTTCCTTACGATTTTTTCACATTTGATCAACTTTAAATCCCCTGTTATTAGCCGATCCAATAAAACTTAAATTTGCATTTCATGAATCTGTCAGTTATTTTCACACTAATCCCAATTCCCAAGTATGGACCAAAATAGTTTGCTCAATTGACTATTCCGTTTCGCAGTATCTCATGTCAACAAGGATGTTTTAGTATGGCCTTGGCAAGTTAACTATAACTTCCGACCTATTATCTGGATTAATACATGTACTATGATAAATCTCTTATAAAAATACGCTAATTAAGCTAAAATTATGCCCTCTAACGGCCAGCGAAATAATTTTCGTTTGCAAACTTGTTTAGACGATAGTTATAGGTTGAATGGTTACTGAGATGCATCCGGCGACATTTAATAACAGCCCACAAAGCACACTAGACCGACACACGTTCTAAGAGCTAGCGCACACCATGGGACGGCAAATGAATGCATCGAGGAGGATCCGTCGTCCGCTAATATACCGTAAATCACCAGCCTCCTTCAGTACACAGTAGCATCCGACACCTATAGCCTATCAGAGAAGATTCTCCATGTTAACGAAAACACACTGGAGAATTACAAGAGCAAGAGGTGCCTTTATGTGCCAATATCTGCTGACGTACACGATATAGTAAGCAGTAGGGTGGACTATCGCCCTATAGTGGTTTTTCTCGGGTAGGCGAAAATTTTTCTTCGATGCTGTCCCTATCCCTAGGTAGTACCTAAATTCAGTTTTTGACCGTCTATCTACCTTTCAGTAACAGCGGAATAAGAGCCATCCTCTCCGGGACGCCATGGTGATGTTACCAATGATGCATGCATAACAACAGTATGTTTCACTATACTTCATTACGACAGACGTCATAGCAAATAACATCAATCTGATTATTTAGTAACATTCAAAATACTCCATATCTGCAAATGACATACATTCCTGGCACTGTAAACGCCAGATCTGTAGATTCGTATTCTATCGTGTCTATACTACGAGTTTCTAATAATGCTTATATTCAGTTCCAACGTACAAAATTAAAACGATATTTGCAACATGGCCGCTAATAATCATGACCACATTTCAAGTCTGGTAAGAATAAAATAAAATAAATAGTTTATGATTATCTTAACCGTCTCTACTTTTTAGAACTTGAACTTTAGGGCAATGAAACTGCCATACAATTTGTTCACAGTATTAGTATATGACTGAAATGGTAGAAGTAAAATTATATTTCATTTTGGAGCGGTCGCCATACTGCATTTCGAATGACGTCACTCTGCTTATTGAGTTTCTCTCATCAAGCACTTCATTTGATACACATGTCATAGGAGCAAGTGTGATAAATGTAAATCGCCATTTGCAGCATCCGCCATATTGGATTCAAAATGGCGGTTAATTGATTTTATATTGTGATGCAAACCGAACGTGTGCACAAAATTTCAACTCAGTTAGTTGAGCTTAACTGATTCAAAATCAGTTCCCAGGATTTCTTGATTTAATATGGCACTCAGGGGCCCATCTCATACAAATTGTATAACTTTCCTCTAGCTTGAGAGATGTTTTATAAGAAACTTTGTACCCCGGATTAGTAAAATCCAGCTTTTAAAAAATCGTCAAAAATTTACAATTTTTATTTGATCCGTTCGGCAGTATTTAGGGAAAGTAATTTTCATCAAAAACTTATAACCAGGTTTTTTAACATCCCTGAAACTAAACTGCAAACAGAAAATAATAAAGATGGTATCCCTTATGTGATTGTAGTGGACGAACTTTCGCGTTACAGAAAAGTGGAGAATCTTCCACAGAGCAATTAATGTATACATCGATTTGGCAAAGAAACAACATGTTGCATGTTGTACGGTTATACTCTGGCGGATACGGGAATTGAAGCTGCAACAAATTTGCGTCGTGGTAGAGGAAGAAAAACGGGACTTGAAATTCGAGATGAAATGGTAGAATACTTTGTAAACCGTAGTCGCTTGCTCTGAAATATTCAATTAAGCAAAAATTGACTTCAAAATTGTGGTCCAAGGAATCCCTTCAAGCCGTGTTCCAAATAGATGGTCGATTTTGAATCCTTTTTGCATCGAAGTTCATGACAGCAAAGAGAATAATACCGATGAATATTGTCGGTTTTCAAATGGCGCTATGGTCCTGATGACACACTTTGCAAATGTCTTACTGACACTGACACGCATTTTCAAAAACATTACCTACCAACGTGCTTCATTAGCTACGTCACATCGCGTCATTAGCATCCCAGAGCTATATAGCTACGGATGGTGGCTTGGTGAAGGAGAGCTCTTAGTCAAAAATAATAAACTGAATGGCGTGTGGATAAAGACATTATGCTTTAGGTCCTCCTCAAAGCCAACCGAGACCAGTTCTCCGTCCACAAACACCGTTTCCAAGGCAACCGGCTCCAGGACAGGGCAATAACCAAACCCAGAAGATCTTCCAGCAGAGATCCGTTCCGACGTTTGGTAGAACCCATATACCTGAAGAGGGAATAAACAGAAGCCAAACTCTGGATTCAGCAGAGTTGGAGTATTCTAGGCACCCTCCAGATGATAACCGTAATACGGCTGGTTAGTTAATATGACTTTCATTCTAGAGATGCTTTCATTAGAAAACAGTTTAAAGGCTGTAACACCTAGTACCTACAATTACTGCAATTAGAGCAATCAAGACCACATTAGTTTCTACCTCAAACTTATATAAGGCAGAAAATCTTGTCTCTAGAAGTCTGTATATCGTGTACGTGCAACTTCTCTAATATTTTGTCGAATTAGGTTTGGATTATGGTAACAAGACGCCCTCCATAGCTGCGATCAACAACAGAAGTTACAGCTTGAGCTCAAATGCACCAGACAATCAGACAGAAGTGAAAGATGAAGCTAGAAGAAGATCAACCAGCAGCGTCGATAGCCTTGGTGACGTAGGTATGAAAGGTAGTTCAGCAAATACTTGGTGGTCAATATATGACTTATTGATTTGTTACTCTATTAGCTGCAGAGCGAAATGAAATACATCCTATTTAACTAAATCTTTTATTGGAGAAAATAAGATGATATATGAATTTTAAGATATTACAAATGTTCTTTCCGAAACTTGAAACTTAAGTGAATGTTTTGGGGCCGAATATACCCATGGTAGATTAAAAGATGTACTTAACATAGGTAGGTAATTTAGGATTTATCCCTTGTAACAAGTGAAAGTGTGTGGCAGTGGTAATATATATAGGTGGGCAACCCCTCTCACAGTCACTTAGCTGGAACACCCGGCTAATTCTACGTACTCTATTGAACGCTTTTTTATCACCAAACGATACACACAGCCACCACAAAAACTTAACAGAAAAACCAGACCATTTTATGACTTGTTCATAGCAAGATAAATCGATATGTAAAAAATTTTTGAATTCTAACGCCGGCTCCACACGTTGGCCCCAACGTTGGTACGAACGTTGGTCGGTTAAGTTGGTGAAGCGTCCACACGTTGGTTATTATACTAGTTCCTTTCTGTCAGAGCCAATTTGAAGATGTCCGACACCGAAACCGAAATTGCTGTAAGCGCTTTTACAGTACTGATGAGTGCGTATAATTTATATTTGTTATTGAAAAAAAGAAAAATCCACGTCAAAGGAGATGGTGGATGACAACGCATCATAAAACTCGGTACCAGTAAGTACATACCATACACTCCATTCTAGCAGGTTTTTACAAGGCAATTTAATATTAAATTATCTAATAATGTGTATACAGTGTGTCCAAGATAAGAATGTCTATCATGAGGATCTTGGAAAACAAAGGTGATACGAAGATGGTTAAATTTCAAGCCTAACAATATGCCGTTTAGAAAGTTTCAAGTTGTTCCGGAGGTATGCCTAAAAAACCGAAATTTGCCGATTTCTTTTTATTTTTTTCTGACGTTATTTAAAGAGATATGGAAAAACAAAAGACACTTTCTTATGGCTACTTTTTAAGCTCTACAAAACAGCGTTGAGAGATTTTCCGCACGACGTTTCGTTTCGGATAAACCATCATCAACTTTATTTTTTATATGGCGCGTAAAAAAGTATGCCCTGTATTAAATAGCATTTTCTAGGCATACCTCCGGAACAACTCGGAATTTTAAAGCTTTCTAAACGGCATATTGTTAGGCTTGAAATTTAACCATCTTCGTATCACTTTTGTTTTCCAAGATCCTCATGATAGACATCCTTATCTTGGACACACTGTATACACATTATTAGATAATTTAATATTAAATTGCCTTGTAAAAAGTTGCTAGAATGAAGTGTATGGTCTGTACTTACTGGTACCGAGTTTTATGATGCGTTGTCATCCACCATCTCCTTTGACGTGGCTTTTTCTTTTTTTTTTCAATAACAAATATAAATTATACGCACTCATCAGTACTGTAAAAGCGCTTAGAGCAATTTCGGTTTCTTTTTTAATTCCTCAATAGAATAAATCATTTTCATATTCTGTTGAATATTGCGCCATGCATCGGCTACTAAATTTCTATTTTTATGGTCCTTGCGAGAGGCGTTCCATATTATTGGATGCGCCTGGTATAACTCTAAAAATTCTACATGTTTTTCGTTTGTCCACGCGGGTAGAGGTGTTGTTGATGACATATCTCCACATACGCACTCGACGCGTGTTACAACAAGACTGAGCCAGTGAGCCAATATGTGGACGGATTGCCAACGTTGGCGCAGATTCCTTTGATAAAACCGACAATCGACAGCCAACTACCAACGGTCGCTCCAACGTTGGGGCCAACGCTATTTTCTAGATACACACGTTGGGCGAGTGGCGTTGGGGCCAACGATGGGGCCAACGTGTAGAGCCGGCGTAATAAACATAAGTAGGTATTTACCTTTTTCTTTGTCACTCAGTAAAACCTATTTTAATTGCATCCTTATAGCAGAAATATTTTCTGTGTAAATAAATGATTTAAAGTTATATAAAGTGGGAAAATGATGAAGTATGACCATATTTTTTTAAAGAGATGTTAAAAAGGCAGCTCTACCCAAAAATCAACAGCAATCAATGAAATTCATCGAACTAATATATTTTTTTCAAATAGGTGATAACCTTGAACGGAGGAATGAAGAAAGTTCCTCTAGGCCGACTTCCAGGATGAACAAAATCATAGAGGATGAATGCGGACAACAAAGCATGTTCCAGAAGAATGCCCACAGGAACGGCTACGAAGACCACAATGCGTCCAGACCAGATTCACGATCAAGTTCAAGATTGGATAAAGAGGACGAGATGCAGTCAAAGCAGACTTCCAAGTCAGAAGACACTCCGAACAGTTCCAGACCCCAATCTAGGCCAGAATCAAGATTGAGCAAAAAAGATGAAGAGAAACCACACAAACCAGCAGAACCAGCACCAAGACCTGAATCAAGAGACGATGTTAGAGGAGGTAGAAGAGAAGATGAAGCACATCAAGATAGGGTTAAAACGGAACGACAGACAGTTAAACCGGCAGCGACTAAGCATTTGGACTTGGGAAAACCACCAAAAGCTAAATCACCTGCTAAAAAAGGTTACCATCAGTAGATGCGACTTTATTTCTTCATTTTATAAACAAACTGTTTAGTTGATAATCTTCGTTGTGCCACCTAACTCAGTGATCCTAGATTCCACTTCCTGGTTCATTTACCTTTTCAGCAGACCTCAGTAATTCTATTGACGAATTATAGGAACTTTATTGTATTTTCTTTAATTTTATCATAATCAAATATACTTATACAAACGACATCATAGGTAACTGAAAAATCTGTACTGAAATTTGTCATTTATGTGCCTGTGCCTGCGTATACCGTTGGAATACTGAAATTGATTTATGTTTTCAGAAGGAGATAATGACAGTGGAGTTGACGAATCTACACAAGGAAATGTAAGTTATTGTCGATTTTGGTGCTTCTAAATATGCTATTTTTTTACTGCCCGGCTTCTCGTTGGTTGACTTGTCTCTAATAAATCGCTTGCCTAACGACGTGAAAAGTAAAGGCATTTTTTCTTATCGTACAGTCTGGTACTTGAACAAAAAACACTGAATACTTTTGCAGGAGGTTAGTAACGGAGACAGGTCGTCAAGAAAGATCAATAAAACATCCAGAACAGCGTCCAGTACACCGGCCAGATCTTTATCTCGAGGATCAAAATCTCCAAGTCTAAAGAGTCCAGACTCTAATGCTACAACACCAGGATCATTTTCTGAAAAGAAAAGTAAGTATTACATGAGAACTACATTAAAAAACAACCTGTACATGGTTTTTCGTACTAAAATGGACATAGTAAAATGGCAGGTAGTATGGATGAAAATGAAAACGTTTTTACGTATATTCAGTGTGATTTATCTAAACACGCCAAATATTTAGTAACACATATCTCAGGCACCACAGAACCGATTTTGTTGAAATTTTGCTCTATAACAAATTAACGTAGCGTAGCATAAAGTAAAAAATCCGGGACCGGAGTCGATTTCTTCACTTTTTTTGTATTTTATCAAAATCAAGACCTTTTAATCTGAATACTGAAATGTACTACTATACACAAAAAATTCAATGAATGAATCAATTAGGAAGGAGTGTTTTGAATGTCAGGTAAGACACTTGATAGTATAGACGACGATTTGCTAGGCACCTTAGAAGTGATTATAATTTAAATATAGTAGTCGATTTTTCTTTTGATCACTTCTAGATTACCATGGATATTAACGTTACTGTATTTGTCACTTATCCAAATATGATTGGAGCCAGTTTAGCCGTCGTGAACTTGAAGTGAACGTGAAGTGTAAAAATAAATTTCGTGAACTCGGAGTAGCTAACACTGAATTTATATGGGTAATAGGAATAGGGGCAGTCCAAAAATGCTAGTTTTATAATAATGTTTTTTAATTCCAGAAGTTCCAATGAACAAAGTACAAGTGGGTTCAGCACCGTCCCCGAACTTGAAAGTGGTTAAATCCAAGATAGGATCTTTGGCGAATGCCAGTTACAAGCCTGGCGGTGGTAACGTCAAAATAGAAACGAAAAAGTTAGAGTTCAAAGCTGCTCCCAGAATAGAGGCTAAGAATGATAAGTACCAGCCCAAGGGGGGAGAGAAGAAGGTAAGTACATATGCTCTTAACTTTTTCGTAGTTATACCAGCAAGTGAGCAAAACATGACAAATATTCACTCGACATCATGTGGATTGAAGAAAATAAATCATTCACTATGTTCTTGTAAATTTTTACTTTTATTTTACTTGACCGTTGTCATTGTTCCAAATGTAAGTTTTTTGTGAACTTTTGTTTACCCATATAATTCATAGTGTCCCTTTATTACTCCTTCAGATGAATTCTAGAATAAAATAGATATTAAGGAGATCCTTTCACAATATCATTGTTACTTAGGGTGTCTGTATACAGGCTGGTCCGTAATGATTGTGTCAAAAATCAGTGCAGATGGGTGGTTGATCTGCTCTCTGGCCGCAAGATATCCATCGTAGTTGACGGGTTCTCCTCTACATCCCACAACGTCAACGCGGGTGTTCCCCAGGGGTCGCTCCAACACTGTTTCTCTTACATATCAACGACCTCCTTGCCTATACGATCAATCTATTCCAAAGCTTTGCTAATGACAGCACTTTACATGCAGGAATTTAGAGCGACAAGCCGGTGAGCTAGAAAAAACGAGACTAGCAGCGACATCCTCTTTGACGAGAGACTTGGAGGTTATCACTACTCCTCCATGATGCCGCCAGACAGAGCCGCCTAACTTCGGCCTCTCATCCTAACCGCGTCGAACTTCGTAAATCCAGAACTGACCGATACGACCGCTCCTTTATCCCAAGGGTGTCGAGATTGTAGAACAATCTACAAGAGGAAGATCTTCCCTGTTCTAGTAACCTTAGGAAGTTCAAAGATCGGATTAACAAATTTGTCTGAGATCCTCATAACTGCCGCGGTATCCTGGCATTTAGGCTTCTACCTGCCGGTTGCTTTGGTGTAAAAAAGAGAAACTCGTGAAAGTAGTGATACTGAATGTTTTAGTAAAAAGTTGCTCGTCGCTCGGTAATAAGACAGGTACAGGGTGATGAATTTGAGTATTTAAAAAAAAGTATTTGTGTTTCTTTATAAAGTATCTCTATTGAAGATATTATTGAACCAAAACGTAACCAGCGCATGTTCAGTGCGTTATAAGCACGTTATTTTGTTCCAAGGAATAGGGAGTATAACTGTTATCGGGCAGAATCAGTCTAGCCCATATACAGGACCAATGCCAAACCAGGAACGTGGAATGGGATATGATACCGTGCTGCATGCAACCGCACCGGCCGACAGCGTTCTGGGTTGTAACATTCTAGGAGTTTTAATTGAAAAATATGATAGTGATGATTTTTGGGTAAGATACTCTACATTAAATTTCTTCCGAATGCTTTTTGATATAATTGAACTTCAATACGCAGTCATAAGCTGGGGCAACCACAGTTAATTGTGGAATATGGTATGGAAAAGTAGCCGTTGGTATGGATGTTTCTCAACGCCAATATGCTTGAGGTATCGTCAAATATATGTTATTGTAACATAGTGGGTGTTAGTTGGATTTGGCTGTGAACCACCCAAATTGTAATAAATACATAACTATGTATGATTAAGTTCACTTCTTTTTTACATGTTTCACTATTGTGCAATTCAAAGAAGAAGTTCAAATATCTCTAAAACACTATGTTCAATCGAAATGAAGAGTGGGCTTTTAACTTAGAATTCGATTATCTATCATAGCGTCCAATGAAAGACAGTAAACCTTCTTGTAAAAATGTTATGGCATAAAATAATATTATAGACTGTAATCTCATTAACAAGCGACATTTTCATATTTGCTACAATCTCATTATTCTCAAGGGTTTAATCCAGCATCGCTTGACGCATTCAATACGGATCACCCTGTATATTGTTGCACGCGCTGGCTTGTGCAAGCCACCGAAGCCCATATCAACATAAATGCTAAGAGCTTACGATGATCAAAATTTTGCTGAGAAAGTAGCATTTCTTTGAATCCGGTCCTACTGGATTGGTGGATGATAAGAGTGATAGTACATTTGCATACGAGTATATCTACCTATATGTTTCGTAAAACACCATTTTTTATGTTATCAAAGTTCTTTATTCCATGTAACCAGTGATTCAAATCTGTAATCGGGAATCGTATCCAAATATTTATTTTTTTCCACGTAAAATAAGGACACATCCTCATGATGTTATTTTATATTACTATTCGTAGATTTTACACTTAATTTCCGTCAATTGACATTGTTCTGCTTAGTTGCTCTACATTTTGACGTCCACGACTACTATTCACTACATCATAAATATAGTCTGACTGCAAGGTGAGATAGCATTACGACTTCGGAAAAAGGTAACGTTACAACGTTAGTTAAATGTGGAAAAATGTGCAATTGAAATTTACAGAGTTGATCTTTGTCTAATATCGCGTTAAATATTCTAAAAGATTACGTAATCTTTGGATTTAATATTCTATTTGTTTTGAAGCTCTAAGGGTGCTCAAGGCGGTCTTCAAAAACATTTATTTAAAATTGTGACCAGAAAAAGCAAAAAAATTACATCAAGTAGGTTGACTCCCCACTACCCACACAACGCCGTCATAAGTTCATAATTCAGCACAAGTTAAACCCACCGAGATAAATATTAGTTATGAACATGTACAACAGGGAAATCAAATCGATCAAATCAACCGTACGAAGTAAAAGCAATTTAAATAATTACAAATCAAATTGGGCCGCTTTTCCTTGTCAGACATTATGACTTTAACTGATTTCGAGCTCGAGGTGTTATTCCATCTTTATTTTAGATACACTGTATTCATAGGACATATACGAGTATATATGGTTTGTGTGATACTGCTCATTTTGAAATCAGTAGTTATGAATACACTATACAGGGTGTTCGGAAGGTCGATAACAATCTTTTAAGGGGTCGAGGTACACTTCATTTGGAACACATTAATATTTAGGGTTATCGAGGAGAAAATTATAGTTGTTGTAACATCTGAATCTTATCCTGTGATTTTCAAGTCGATATTTCTCTGGCCAATCGAAGCCATATGTTTTGAAAAAAAATCTTCTTTATTGAATACCTACAATAACGAAGATTCATACTTGCATGCATGTATTTATGTAGGGGGGGGGCTGGCTTTGGACAGAATTCCATTAGCCACAGATTGTCTAAATTTGTATTACGTGATGCTTTAAATTAATATTTATTTCTAAAAATGAAGATTCATACTTACAAAAAAGCCAAGAATCGCTGTAGAATCGAACCACTCATAAAACCAACATTAGTTTTTGTAACGTGTACGCGATCTTTCTATAACTTGGAAACTACCTGTACAGGGAAAACAGTGAAATCTAAATTCCACTGACGTCGTAAATTTGAACTTTACCGTATACGTCAATAAATATGACTAAGATAAGACTACAATGGCGTTGCTGTTCGTTATTAAACATGATTTTGGATTTTTCCTAGGATTTCACAAAATTGCGCGTAACTCAAAAACGGTTCGACTATGTTTTAGCTATCAGCCCTCAAGATGTTGGTATCGACCATCTGAACACCCTGTTATAACAAGTTATCACAACACAGCACAGCAAAAAATAAAAATGCGTTTTTGGGTTGTTCGTTAACAATTATTGAGGATTCAGAGTTCTAAGTTTGCTCTAGTAATAAAAAAATCACTAATCACAATATGAAACAAAAACAATAAAACACAGATGTAATTTTGTGAACATATATAATAATTACTCGATCGACTGCAACGATTCTTGTACAAAGCTTCAAAGTAGAATTATAAGAATATAATGTGACAATTTTCAATGAAGAATCCTCAGCTTAGTTGAAGAGAGGTGATTCAGATAATTTCCCGATAAACCTCAGTAATTAATCTGGTAGCTTTCAGTATAACTAAAATGTACGAAATCTTAACTAATTTTGAGTTAATTCAGATACACTTCCCCTTGATTAATATGTAGCATCATTTTCCGTACCATTACAGAGAGACTGTTGAAATCATTCTCATTAACCTACAAGCTCGCTTCTAGCATATTAGCAGCGTTCATCAGTACCTGAATCTTAGCGCTGTACTGAAGCGCTGTCTAGTGTAAGCTTTAGCCAAGAAGACTGGAAACAGAAGAGTAAACTTGAAGGTTAAGGGGTGAAGTCTAAAGTGACGAAATTAAAGACAGGTTATCTGCTATGGTTATTGCGTCAAAAATGTATTTCAGATTCTACGCGTGTGGCATCCCTCTCATGTTTGCACCTGTCTCTTTCACTTGTACAGTGTGTCCAGTGTGTCACTTTTTGATTTAAGAAAAAAAAAATACAAACTTAATGAAAAGAAAATATTTATTACTATCAACATATTCGTAAATCCGGCGGGTTTTATTTCTTAAATATCATTCCGTCCAAATGATTGCCATCTCTTCGGACACACTCTTCTAATCGCGCGCGCAAATTCTGAAACACTCTCTTGCAGAGTTCCGGACAAATGTTGTCTTTAAGCTCCTCCAGTTATCGTGGATTATTGGAATACGCTTTGGACTTTAGATAACCCCACAAAAAATAGTCGCATGGCGTAAGGTCGGGTGACCTAGGAGGCCAGTGAATGTCTTTAAACTTCGTTATAGCTTTTTGAGGAAAAAGTGCCTTCACCATGATTCTCTGGAAGTATGGACAGTGCTCCATCCTGTTGAAACCATGTGTTTATAATAGGAGCAAAAAGTGTCATTCGTGTTCTTGTATCGCTCCGAATTGACTGTCAATGCATGACCGTTTTCATCTTCAAATAAATACGGCAAAATAATACCGCTAGAGGACATGGCGCACCAAACAGGCACCTTTGGACTATGTAGCTGTTGTTGATATTTCTCTTTTGGGTTCGTTGGTGCCCAATACCTGCAGATTTGCTTTTTTACATAACCGTCCAAGTGAAAATAGGCCTCGTCACTGAAAACAACGTTCTCGAGTCTGCGCTGCGCAGGAAAATGGTTCAACATCCGTTCAGCACAAAACTTCTGTAATACGTAATCACTTTCCTTTAAAACATGGACTGATTGGATTTTAGAACGCCGAGGATTTGCAATGACCGAATCACTTACTCGATTTACATTTTCTTCGGTTGATACAGTGTGGGTTGACAAAGGGTAGAGCCTGTTTCACGGAACCTCTTAATCCACTTTTCCAATAGGTTCTTACTTGGGGCCTCTCTTGGTCGATGAATGTTGTATCGTGTACACAATTTCCGAAGGGAAGCTGCGTATGAATCACCACTCTCAAAGTAAGCATCAATAGCAAAAGCACGTTGCGCTCCGGTCCAACGTTCCATTGTGACTATTTAACCTTTAACCCGCACGCCGAACGCGTCGGTCAAGACCTCTCCCCACTTGCTCGGGACACTCTGTATGTCTATACACGCGCAGAAGCTCTCCGTGGGCTACGTTTCCTGGAGGCACGCACTCCTTACCGATAGCAGTGGCTTCATACAAATACATGCCTTGACTTAAGCAGCTTACCCTCCTGTTTCCAGTCTAGTGCTAGCTTTACTGCTGAATGTCATCTGAATTAACTGATAATCATTGACAATGAACATACTCCAGAGAGCGCTAGGATGTAGCTGCTGAGTGTTAGGGAACGCAACTATTGACTCCTTGGAATGGACAACCAAATGTTGATGTCAGCACCAAACAATACATGTCATGCTTCAAATATAAAACACTCACAACTCAGTACCAAGTATATTTTCATAGTACCATCACCTACACAGATAGAGCAACGTAACAGTACTATCAGTTTTGTTATTGCACCGTAGATTGTACAGCAAAAATTGCAGTGGAACGCAAAATCAAAAATAAATTCTCTGGAAAATGCACACCACAAACCCAAAGGTGGGGAGAAGAAAATTGAAACCGTGAAGCTGGACTTCAAGGGGAAAGCAAAACCCAAAGTAGGATCTAAGGACAATATTAAGTATCAACCTGGCGGGGGAGATATCAAGGTAATTACTGCATTCGTCATTCATATATAACCACAACGGTTGGAAAAAATTTAAGGGATGATTCTTTGGACTCTTCCCTAAACCAAAAAACCGGCTTTTCTTAAATGACTTCTGAATAACACTCCTATTCACACAACATCTGGTTATATCATCCAGAAGAGGCTTATGGAAAACAAGGCACTCATTTAGATCGCGCGAGACGCACTAACCCTAACGCAATGTTGCGAAATTTTTAATCCTATATAATTATGACTCAAAAATGATAGTTTGGTAAGCATTTTTTAGTATAAAAAAACTATTTTTGCTTGATTCCCATAAAATGTACCACTTTTGTGTTGTGTTTTAGTACTGTTTCATGGATTATGATACAGATTCCCATCTACGGGTTCAGAAATTTTGAGAATTGAGCAATTTTTATAGATAATAAAGTGACCTGAAAATAGTCTCGGTATAAATTTTCAGATTATTTGAGAAACTTGTATGCTTTTGTACAACTTTTTGAGGGTTGACTGCGGTGCAAATCACAAGGAACTGTATTGAAACAAGACTTTTTTCTCGAATTATATGAAATAAAACAAGAATATATTGTTTTAGCTTTAAAAAACAAAAAATACAATTATTGAGCCATTACCGTTCAGGATGTAGAAATTTTGCAATCTTGCGTTGTGGCTCGTCCGTCGGGCGATTTAAATGAATTATTTGCTATAGATATTACTTAAAGAGTCGTTAACTGATTACTCTTCTGCTAACATGTCATTGAATTATACAGGATTGTTCAAAACTTAAACCAAGAGAAAGACTGTACACCAGTATTGGCGTCCTTTAGGGGTCGGTACCTATGTCCCAAACCCCACGGTATTGAAAATTATCGGAGGACAAAATGGTCTTAGGATGGTTCAAAGTACCACCACTTGAATGTTTGCTCAATCTTTTGGAAATACCTTATAAAATGTTATAAAAAGATATACACTTACCACACATATCCATCCAAAAAAATGTAGCGAAATAACGATATGCCATTCTAAATGTCTATTAAACAGAAATTCATGACACTTATTCGCAAGTGTCAAACTGTATCGATGTAATAATTTCAAATTACTTGAATTATAGCAAGAAGATATAAAGGAAGAAAAACATATTGGTACTGAAATAAGCAAAATCGCTACTGAACTCGTTTCTGATGGAGTGAGTAAGAAAATGCGTGTAAACTTGCTGGAGAATTACTCACGTTTCCACTATGTACTATAGAATGCACTAAATCAACGTACTTGTCGGATTCACCATGTAGAGTCGCTTTCTCACTTCCTGTATTGATAGAGTCGTTCGTTTTAAGGGCAGCTCGGCAAATATGCAGTGTTTAACTTGTGTAATAGAGTATGGTTACGGCTTTCTCACTTTCACAAATACCGTGTAAGAACAAAACTTCCAAAGCAATAGTTTTTAGCACAGTTGTACTGGCCACAACGTGTATTGTGACTAACCATCGAAGCGCTAGTGTCACACAGCACCATTGTCTGGAGTTATGTTACTAGCGCAGCACGCTGTAAGCATGGTCAATGGCCACTAGCCATGTTTACATCGGACACAGCCATGTTCTTACCAGCGATTCGTGTTGTTCTGTGTGTAATTTCAGCCCGTTTACACCACGTGCTCTGCTCTATTTAAGCACTTGGCTAGAGACGGTGTAAACACGGGCGATGTTAGTAACATTTTCTGTCATTTTTAACGATTGCAAGTTATATTTTTCTCCATAGAGGGGAGCGCTACGAGTGCTCCAGCGCCATTGAACGGGACCAGTTGACACATTCTTTGATTTTTTGAGCTGCCCTTGTACAACTATTTCTCTGGAAGTCAATATGAAGTAAGAACTAATAAAATATAAATATTTGTTTTCTGATGGTATTCTAGATAGAAACGAAGAAGATAGATCTGAACGTAAGCAGCAAAATAGGATCCATGGACAATGTGAAGCATAAACCAGGAGGTGGTGATAAGAAAATATTTGATGACAAAGAATATTTGAAGCAAATGTCTGCAGTTTCAAGCATAGAACATTCCTTATCTGGATCTCAGGTAAAAATGCATATTTTGTATCTAAAAAGTTACATTCAATGCACAACGCATGTTGGCAAGTGGTCGGTTCTTGAGGCTTTACGAACTTTGTTTAGCGGGAAAAACGTTTACTTATAAAAACTGAAAAAAGACATGAACATAATCTTCTAAGCGAGTCTTTCAAAGATGTTTATGTATGAGTTATCCAGAATAATATTCTATCCTCATCCGGTTCATATATCATTTTTTACTTTGATCATTCATAAAATCAAAACAATTTTTTTCAAAATTCGAGCAATCAAGAGCCCCTGAAAGTTCACAGGCATGTTCGGAAACAGAGTCCAAAAGTTTCGAAGAAGTCAATGGAGTGAGGTTGTGCCAGTAGTTATTCGAGCAGCGCAACATTTTTTGTTTAAAAGTGGTATATAATATGGATCACAAGAGTAGACTGCACGTGTACAGGATATTCGGAAGGTCGATACAAACCTTTGATACCTTAGTACAAAATCGAACCGTTTTTAAGTAACGCGCAATTCCGTGAAATCTAGAAAAACGCCAAAATCGCGCATTAACTATCGGTTGCTTAACAATGAGGAGCAACTCGTTTGTTCTGGTACTTTTCTCATTTATCCTAAAATGTTAGCAGTTTAGGAGTTGATACCGGTTATTTTTTCATCAACTTTAGCTTGCATCAGTTAACCGAAGATACGAGTATTTTCGTGTAAATGTGGCCTCGTCAGTACACAAAAATTAATTTCGTAAAATCTTCTTTTCTGCCGAACTGTTCTAAAACCCACTGGCAAAATGCGACTCTTCTAAGATGACCTTCAGGTTGTAACGCTTGTACCGGCTGATAATGATAAGGATAGTACTGTTCTTTTGCTATTGTCTTGCATACTTTACTATAAGAAACTTCAACTTGAGCTGCTATGGCTCTAGTACTCATTCTTGGGTCGTCTTCGACTATTTCTAAAATGACTTGCTGAATTTGTAACATTTCAGGTTGAGCAGGTCTTCCAGCATGACCTCATCGTGGTTCTTTTACATATCCTGTGTCACGAAGTCTAATAGCTAAATTCAGAACCATCCGTGGGACCGGATAAATTCTTAAGCGAAACCTTTCCGCATACAACCTGCATGCTGCGGCTTCATTTTGTTGGCTCTCTCCGTGTGTTAGTATTATGTCCACAAGTTCATCGTTTTCGTAAGCATGGGTCATTTTTTCCCACAAAATAATCACACAAATAAAGTATACGAACTATTAAATGACTGATACAACCGATCAAACCAAAGCCTCGTACTGCAACCATACAATAACACAAAAAGTTAGCCAAATTTAGATAAACGATAGGAGTAGTAAACAAAAAACGCTAAGATTTTACACGGCAGTTTTCGAAATATAAAAAAACCTGTGTAATAACATTCTTATTTTTTAAATGTTTAATCTGTTACTATTTCTTTTATTATGCAACTTTTATATAGGTAATTTTTGGTAGATCAACTCCTTTTGACGAGTCCTACAAGCAGTTAAAATAGATGACTCAACTTTGAAAACACTAATAGGTATCACCAAAAATACAGTTACGTGTCATCCACTCAAATAATAGCTTTTCATGTGCAAATTTTTGATACTCTAGGCAAGGTGTACAATGTGATGAACAATAGTTTTATTTTATAGATTTATTTGATTTTGCAACGTGTCGTGACCTTTCGGAAAAATTTTCGGAAATATTTTGCAACAGCGTAAATTAAGATCATCCACATCTTGCTTCGTATAGTCGCGTACAGACCGAAAATCCAACGCCGAGCAAACGAATGCAAGCACATGTTGGCTTCTGTTATTGGAAGGTATTGGAATGCGCTCCTCTACGCCTAAATTTAGTTTAAAGTTGGACCGCGTTTGGTTATGTTCGATGCTAATGTCGAGCGTCGAGTCTCCTCTTATAGAATGCAGACATACGACTAAATACTAGGAGCGCAGAAAATGCTGTACAGTCCAACGTTGGCTCACGCCGAACACCTCAAAATCTGTAACCACATGTGCCTTGGCTTGCGTTGGAATCTCGGTCTGTACGCGGCTTAACATATCACAAGAAAAGGCAGAGGTGAAGGAAGTTTTTCTAATAATTTTAATTTACAGTGTTGTCAAATTTTTCTATAAACTCTTTCGAAAGTAACCTGAAATTATTTTTCATCATATATAAATACTCTTTCGATAACATGGAAAAGTAGATGGGAAAAATAACAGGACAAACGAGTAGCTATTGAGTAACCGATGGTTTGTTGCTTGATTTTGGCTCTTTTGTATTCACAAAACCACACGTAACTCAAAAAGGGTTCGTCTTTGTACTACGTTGTATGTGGCTTAATGTGTTCCAAGTGGGGTGTACTTGGAAGGTTTATATAGACCTTTCGATCACCCTGTATGAAAGTTCGCCTATTTTTTCATAATGCGATTTTTTAGTTTGGTTATATTTACAATAGAGTACCTTTAGTCACGCTTATTAGTGTAAGCATTGATAAACAATGTTTATAAGAGCATTCTCACATAAACAATGTTAAATGACAATCTGTAAATATGATGCAAATTCTCACATAAACAATGCTAAATGACAATCTGAAAATATGATGCAATAGCTCTTATAAATTCAGATTGCTTTTCACGCCTATAACATATTTAATTATTTTACTAGAGCTCGCTACCACCGCACCAGGATGCCAAACAGCAAGTGACGGCAGATGAAAATTTGAACCAAGAGCGTTGAATTCGTTCCTGATGTTTTTATTTTTAAATATGACTTTTCTTTGTAAAAAATATTACAAATTTTTCTTTGTGCATACAAAATAACTTATGAATCATGACCATTAAAAATATGAGATATTCAACTTTCAAGTGAATTTTCAACATGTTTGCCAAGTGATACAGAGTAATCAAACCTTTTATACAATTGTTTAATATATAGACTAGTTGAGTGGTTAGAATTTACTATTCTATTTATGTATTACTTTCTCGATAGGGCGATTCAAAATTATTCAATTTTCAATTAAATTTTAGGAAATCTTATTATCGAAGGAATTATTATGAAACCAGTTAGACCACGATATGGTTAGTGATCAAACATGCTCATGTGTCTAGATGACAGAAACCAGTATACAAAAATGCATGCACAGTTGATATCTAATATAAAAATATTCTCGAAATTGAGTTAGTGTTTGCGCTGTTAAAGGATGTATTGTGGATTTATTTTGAATGTTCAGTTTTGGATCTCCCTATATAAATGCACAACATAAACATGTTAAAATTCACATTATCATTATATTTATCGACAAAAACAGTTCGCCCATATTAACACTGCTTTATTTTTTTCACAGCAAGCATATTTTTTTTTTGTAATTCGGGCATCGTCAAAAGTAAGAATAGTTTTGATGTTGTGAAATATACTTGTAGAAACACTAAAAACACGCTATTCTACTTTTTAGGTAATAGATTAATACTACATTGTGAAACAGGAACTATATCTGACTGATATATTGAGCACTATGGACTGATTTGGATCTTTAAAGAATTGTGAACTGTTTCAGTGTAAATTATGTCACTCATAGCACTTATAAAATTCATTAATAATAGTTATAGTTTCAGACATTAATAATCTTCAAACATTTTCATTGTTATTGCTTGAAGCAGCATTACTTTTCACAATGCTGTTCTTTTTCGGAATTTTCAAGTATGTATATGAAAATGCAAGGGTATATTTTTTAATAACAGTAGATTCATTAATTTTTATTATCATTTTCAAAACTGTCACTAGGATTTACGATAAGTGACTACCAAGAATAATTGCAACTTCAGTTGCATAATTGATTATTGAGAGAATTGCGTGTGGTAAGAGGAGAAAATTTCTCTTATTTTCAAGCACGTTGTATGAACCAGTTTTGTTATTTTTTTATGTAATGTGAGCTACCTATTTAGTATATAATCCTTATACTGCGATCATACTTCATGACTTACGTTTTTAGCATTAAGTTTTGATTGTACAATAAAATCGGCATTACTAATAGTAGCATTTGTTAACCACCCCCATCACCAACTCCTACAAGTGGAGTATACGTAAGTAGAGGCACGCTTTGTTTGAAGTAAACATTAACCAATTTGGTATTTTTATTTGATATTTACACTAAAAGAGCTTCGCAGAGGTATTTTGGGCAGTTAGCACAAACGACATCACCGTAGAAAGTACATTTTTAGTTAGTTAACCGTAAAAATGCAAAAGGTGCTACTTGATTATCATATACGTCGCCCAGAGTACCGAGATCTTTGAAGTATAGTGGAATGCCATTAGACATAAACTACCAGTGACTCGTAGCCCAGGAACGAACACAAAGATTTTAGTCCGTAATGAATGCGTCTAAAAGCGATCTTGGATTAAACTCAGGAAAATTGTGATAGTGGCCATGTTTAAACCACGCTTAGCCAGATACGTAGATAGCCACAGCGCACCAATAATTCATGTTCGTCTGTGAGTAAACGCTGGCCAGAAGTCAAACATGCCTAGAAAAATGTAGTTGTTTTTAATATCGTTTTTTGTGGTATCGATACCAACACATGGGGAAACGGGAGTTTAAAAGCAAAATTATTCGCGATTTCAGGCCACTCAAAATTATACATTTATATGATATAAATCAACATTAGCTTCCTAGTTGTATAAAAATTATCATTTCTAGCCCAAGCTATTTGCGTAGACCTAGTTTATTTTGTTTCCTTGTCTTCCACTCTATAGATATCAAGTTGTTGACTAAGTGGTCTAGTGTGCAAATAGTTCAAAAGTTGACGTCTTGGAAAACCACGTCATAAAAAACCTACATAATTTCAAAAACCGACATAATGTCACTTTCAAGTTACGTAACACCCCCTGCGGAATCCTCTGAAACTTCAAAGAGCGATTTTTATTTTTTTTATTTTTGGCCTAATTATCCTCTGCCACGATTTTCAAAAACTAGCACAGTAGTAACATTGTGTGAAAATGTCGTTAAATTGCGAGCGGTACTTCTCAAGTTATAGGTGGGTATAGGATTAGCAGACAGACAGACAGATAAACGGAAATGAGTGTCATGGTTTTTAGTGACATAACATCCAAAAAACATATCTCATTTTTTTTAAACTTTGCGATTACCATACTAATATTACATAAGTAATTACAAGATATTATATTCATTTAATGGCACCTGCCCGAGACATCTGTATACTAAGAAAACATTGCATGGAAAAATTACTCCAACATTTTTTTTTTCTAAAGGGTCACACAAAAAAATTAGAAGAGGGACCAATTACAGCGTTTCGTATGAAAAAAAGCTTCTCTTTATCGTTTTGCTTAGAAACAAGTTTATTCCTGAACCGCTATATGTAGCACATATATAGATGTAATGTATATTCATGTTTATTCGAAAGCCGAAGAATGTTCAAATAGAAGACGAGACTTCCAGGCGTCGGATACATTCAGCCAGAAGCCTGGATACTGTCCCCGAAGAGCGCAACTTCACTTCCGGCACTTTTTCCAGAAGCAACTCCCTACGAAGAAAGAGGAATGGAGACAGTGCTAGACCTAGATGGCGTTACTGAGGGAACGCATAATAACTTGCCTGAAGAAATCACCAGCAGCAAAATATTCATATCAGATATATTCAGTTTTTATGTCATGTACTGGATTTGTGTAGCATTACGTAAACCAAAAAATGATATCAAGTGGGTTTACTTTGTATTTTCCACGTAATTATGCCATGAAATAATCATATTCCATTAATTTCCAGGTCTAACGCCATACGAACTGTGATTCAAAAGAAATCGATCACAGCAATTGTATGTGAGGCATAGAGTCAACCTGCTTGACACAAAGTTTATACTAAAATTCTGATTAAATCAAAGCCTGAGTAGGCATGATCGCTTAACTACGGTTCATTCCAGTTGTGGATTTTTGTAACTGGTACTACGAATCAAATTCACATAAATATACAGGAATCATGCCAAATGCACATCCACTGACGCAATAACCGATGTAAAATGAAACAGACTTGAACAGGGGTATAAAACACGGGAAAAACTCGCTTAATATATTTTCCAACTCCGTATGCCAGAATGCTGGGAGAATTTTATTGGATTGTCGAAGATAGCACATACTCTATATATTGAGAGGGGCAATTAAGATCTCTGTAACGGATATCGCAATGCGTCCTTATCCTTTTGCAACCAAAAAATGTATGACTCAAGTCACTTTCCAAGTTGCAGAATTCGCACCTGAATCACACGTAACCTAGCTAAGCGGACAGGAAATAAGTCAGGGCCAATTATTGCACGGGCGATTATGGAAGAGAATTTTCTGAGGATATCAATGTTGCCGTGCCAGTAGGTACGAGGCATGCAGGGATCGATGCTTGTGTACTTTATAGGATTCGTGAAACAATACTGATGCCATTCTAATTTCCATTCCTTGAACATATCCCTTTCAACTATGGCAAAGCGCTATTGGAGTCTTCTACAGACTCCATTTTCTCTGGCTGACACAATGCTTCATTTCACTGGTTCGCCCACGCTTTGATTGGAGGAAATACCATGCTGACAAATTTTATGCCAATACTACTAGATCTCAAATGTTGTATAGTATATACTATACCTATAACAAATGTATCAGAATGGATTTGTTGCGGTCAAAATTATCACAAATAAGAAATCCGATATAGTAGAGATGTTCCTAAACTTGAGAAATACTAGATTCCTTCTGCAGAGAATATCGAAGTACACTGAGTACAAGTCGAACGGTGGCTGAATCATCGTTATCTGGGACAACCCGTTTCTTCTTGATTTTTAGAGGCATCTGTGTAAATACCTAAAGAGAGGTCAATGATATCAGCTAAAATAATTTTTTTTTCAACTTATGCAATCTTAAAATTTGAGGTTTTCAGTGTCGCTAATGACTAATTTGATATGGATTGTTCAAATATCGGGAAAGCGGATCTAACACGTCTATATTTGAAAAAATGTTTTAATCGCGCTAAGTATTAAGTATATTCAGATGTTCTTAAGGTCGGTTATAATGAATTAAATATAAATTCTTAAAAAAATCTGATATGCTTGGATTTGTAAATAGAGAGCTGGCAGGGCAAAGCTTGTACGGCAGGTGCTCTGTGGTAGCGATGGTAGATGGAGTAACGGGTTCTCATCACTGAATCACACGCTGCTGCAAAACGGATCTCCAAATAAGAAAGTTCTGGATAGCGTAACTTTGTAAATTTATAATATGTTTAAAAACATATTCAGTGCTGCACTTCACTTTACTTGATCTATCATTTTCAGTATGTTCTAAAAACTAGGAGATTTCGTCATAATATAGGCGTATTCTTTAATTCACCGGTGCAACCAGTTAACCAATTTTACTTCTTTTAATTTCCATCTGAGCGACCAAACTTGTCTATATAGTTTATAGACAAGTTTGGTGTACAACAGACGGAAATTAAAGGGAGAAAAATTGGCTAATTGGTTGCACCAGTGGCTCAACCGGTGAATAAAAAATACGCCTTATAGTTTCTTATAATTATATGTACTATAGTAAAAGTATTAATTAGTAAAAGCAACATAAACCTTTAGTTTTCTGTGTAAATAAATTGTAACAACTTATCACAATGTCAGAAAGTAAGGTTTAATATTCGTTAGAGCACCTATTAGCCAAAATATAAAATACGAGTATGTGTGAAATATTAGAGTCTCAACAATCACAAATACGACATAAATATTAACGATAACCTATAATCCAATGATTTGTGGCTTGAATATAAACGATAACGTTAACGTATGCGGTATTTGTGATTGCTAAAATTATATATTGCCGATAACTAAATATATAGAACAACGAAATTTATCATATATTTTTCGTCAAGTTACGTGTCGTTATTTCAATATCGTTAGTTACCATTGACTCAGTTTTCTTCACGGGTTCACGAGATGAAAAAACTGTTAATTTTGCAAAACTCGTATAAAGGTTTCATTAAAAAGCAGGCGTAGAGGGTTTAAACAATTATACAAAATTCATAAAACAGTAAAAATTAATTGAATTTTCTTTTTGTATTTTTATACAAATTTATAGCAAAACTATACCGTGGTTTGTAACATGAAGCAGGGACCTAGCTTTAGATATAGCGCTTATTGTATTATGTATATGAGTGACAAAGAAAATAAAAGTTTTCAAAAATAAGCTACCTAAATTCAATTTTTATTAGCGCTTTATTGACCCATATCCGGTAACAATCATTTGACTCACAATTTCAATTACATTATATATTGATGCAATACTTATCCCCGAATATGCCTTAAATATTCATTTAATATTCAATGATATTTTTATCTTACTTAAATATTTGTTTTCTTAAACAAATATTTGATAGATATTTGTAATATAATATTTTTATTAAATATTTATTCAATATCTTTTAAATAGTTTAAATACAATATTTCTTATATAATATTCATTAAATATTTTCGGCTACGGCGCTTGTGCGTGTGACCTCGTGCAACCAATGGGATAATACCAAGTCGGCCTTAGACGGCAGCCATTTTACCTGTGACTTTTACTATGATAGCATACATCCTGTGTATCACCAAGTGGTTTATTATTTGAGTGTTTTTTTGTGGTACAGGGAAAAGGGTAAGTTATTCGATAATTACATAGCTTAATTTATCTGACTAGTAAACATTATGGTGCCAGCTGAGTATAAAGGTATCATAGGGCCATAAATAACTAGCCTTGGAGTGTACTACTAAAAAAAGTCACATTTCAACAAAATCAATAAGTGTTAGTCAAAGGATCAAGTTGTGCCCATGGACATTTTTCATCAAGATATCTAAAATCACATACTAAATTTTCTTAAAATTTAACCAAATTTTTATTTTTTTTTATATTCCAACTACCACGAAGGCCTAAGGCCTAAACACCCATTGGGTACCGTGGGGATACAGGGGAAAGGGGGAACGCCACACGGACTCTGGCGAGGGAACACGTGTGCATGCAACATGCACACATTCTGGCTCCGCCTACGAGATCCGCCGGGTGGTACCTCCACGTTCGACAGTCAGAGACCATCTACCACCTACGGACAATCACAACATCCATAGCCAAGAGAAAAATTTCTCCTGGAACGGGACTCGAACCCGCACAGCGCACGGCGACTGATCAGGAGACCGAAGAGTCTACTACTGCGGCCACCGCTGCTGCCTAAAATCTCAAACTATCATAGGCATAACATGTGGGGTCCTTTTATGGGCATTATAGAGCTGCTTTTCAGTGACCCAGTTGAGCTACTCGGAGTAACTCACCATGCTCATCACCAATAAATACACTGGAAAGCAGCTTATGTATTCAATAATACTTCATAATTAGTAAGTTTGTTTTTTTCCAGAGGAGTGGACTTGCAAGATGCAGAACAGGCTTCGAATGTTTTTTGATAATATTTTTCTAGCAAATTAGACCATTATATCTAGAATGAATTTTCTTTATAAATCCAATTTTATATAAGCATTCCTACAGGTTTTGCTAAAATAACCAATGAAGAATTTTCTATGTACACTGAAAATATGTATCAGATTAATGCTTGCAAATCCATACATATTTACGAAAAATATTAGATATTTCATCAAAATATAAAATTGATATTTAAAAATCTTTCCTCATATTTTCTAAATATTTTGAAGAAATATCGCCAAAATATATGAATTATATATACTACAAACAACTATAATGAATACTTTATAAATATATAAGAAATATATTTATTAAATATTAAAAAATCTGTCGCTACTAATATTTAACAAACATATTTAAAAAATATTTAATGAATATTTAATGCTATCGGGGATGGTGACTGGATAAAATGTATCATGAAGTAAAACATGTTAAAGAAGTGTCAGTGATGGGTTGCCTAAAGAAAACCAATTAAATATTAAAAATGAATAGTAAATGAAACTGGAATATGCAACCGTTAGGTTGCCATATTTTTCTTGTCTAATCATTCGGCTGCAAAATGTAAACAAGTAAATTCAATAAGATTATATACTAGAATAAAACATTATTTTTCAGATGATTAATGTTTTTGAATCACAAAGTACACAGTATAGTAATAATGTGTCTTTATTTTTTAATTAAAAGTACAAACAAAAAACTCATTTGATGAGGGAGGCGGCATTCAACACCGTTGCTCTTCCATGCAACCCCCAAATACTAACAAGTATAAGATTTTGTATAGGCAAATTCCGTTCTCGGCTCTGCTGGCCATACACTACTTGTCGAAATATTTCGCGACTATTTTGCATAAATGTAAATAGTATTGAATCACACGATCTAGAGAGGCAACTGTCACTTAAAGGAGGGAGTGACAAAATTATGTAATTGAATTGCTTTACGGGATCTTATCAATAAAAAATAATCTAAATAAAAAAAGTGCTTTCTATTCAATCCAAATCTTGCGTGAATTTTGAGTCATAATTTATAAGGTTGCCTGCAAAAAACTTGAGCGAAATCATGTTTGCCAAGGTTTCAAATTGAATTATTCAAACGTAAGTTATAGAAAGGGATGCCGTCCAACAGCTGCAACCTCCACAGCTGCATAATTAAACGCAAAGTGATTAAGCAAAGTATAGAGTGAATATCACAGTTTGAAAACAGTAAATGAGTAAGTACAAATTCACTGTACCTGCTTACTAGAATGCAAAATGTCTTGTATAAGACCCAATTTGAGTACAAAGCTTTTATCTCCTGTGCGAATTGGAGGTTAGTTGCGCTGCAACGGATTGTTAAAGGAATAGCTCGTAAATACTCACAAGTAAACAATGTACGTAAACGTATAAACAGGGATACTACCTATGGTTAACACTATCACATGTCATCCCAACTAGTTTTTGTAATCGATAATATCCTCATCAGCGGATGTGGTTTAGGATATCTGTTTGTAAGCTGGCCTTACAGGGTGGTCCCTCGTGACTGTATTCTCATAAAAAGAAGAAGGAATATGGTTCTAGAGGATCTTGGATGGGTTCGTTGTTGAACTGGTACTGCGTAAAGCTTTGGAATAAAAAACTGTTTATGTTTAACAATGTAATATATAAAATAGAAAAGTAACAAAGTCCATAACGACATATAGTGTAAACAAAGTTTATCTGTTTTTTATATCCTTATGCAAAGGAGCAATAACTACAACCTAGGGCGAGGAACGGCCGTATATTAAAACAATGCTTTAGTCGAATAAATGAAGTTTATATGAAACAATGTCATTCAAAATTAATGAAAACGGATACACTAGTTTAATCGTACAATATCTAGTCACGTAGACAGTGAAATATATATATATATATATATATATATATATAGATATATATTGATACATACATTCATTTACACGTGAAAACTTTTACCCTCCTGAGGCAATCGGGTCGAAATTACAAATTTCATAGTGAGACTTCATTTAAAAACAGAACTCAACTCAAAAAAAACTCAACTAATCAGATATTTTTGGAAACACGTCGCACAGCCATATATTATTGTCAGGATCATGATCACAGGAGAAATCAGTTTTTTTATTAGTGAGATTTTAGATGCAAGAAATACTACTTTTACTATGTGTATAATAGTGTTGCGAGACATAACTTAAAAATACTTTCAAATAAACTCTTGTACATCTAAAAAAAAAATAAAAGCTTAAGTAATAGTTAATGGCATAAAGTAGGCTCAGTATTAAAAATGATGCATATTAGATAAAAATCTGCATATATGAAAAAACACAATAGAAAAAATGTATATAAGGTCATCTTAAACTAAAGAGGTTTAATTAATTTGCCGCTACAATAGCATAAATACAATATAAATTCTTTTGTAAAATTTAGAGAATAAGTATTTCACAGGCAATTTGTATGAATTCAAACTTTAATTGCATAAGTTAAGAGCTAATGCAAGGAGTTTTATCATAAACTTTGATTTAGCAAACTGAACATAATCGGTCACCTGAACAGAAAATAAATGTCAATCAAACAACAAATTAAGGTAGACAACTGAAGGGCTCATCTGATTTTTACCTATTTAACCAAACCAAGTTTAATTCAAATATGTGTCTGATAGAAATGTATGAGGACATTTTAACATTTGAATGATATGTTTGAACAATAGCATATAGTTTGTCCCATTTAGGCAGCCTATGAGGATAACAGGTTTTATCCCATAAAATACCTAATAGCCTAACAACTGATAACCACACCCCATAAGTATGTTACATCAATCGTTTTCCTTTAGAAGGGCCTATCCGAATGTGTAATAAAGAATATTGCACTCAATTTGAAAAAATGCTCGTATTTTATAAGTGTACCCCCAGATTCCACATATAATAGCCCATAAACAGTTGTCTCTGAAAAATTTCGGTTTATAAGTAATATGGGATGGAGCACTTTGCATAAAAGTTAATTCGGGAACTTTATAAAGAGTTCGAATAAATCATGTTTTATTTAGTTTAGTTTTTAGCGTATAGTCGCGAAATGGTTATATATTTTGAAAAGTGTTTTACAGCCAACTTAAACTTTTGTAAGAATTTCAGCCTTAAGCACGCATACGTTAGGAACTAATGTTAACATCCACATGAGATATTAGGAATCTAAGAGTTCCATTATAAACGTCCATTCAATAAACTAAACGTACGGGGTCGCCCGGTCAGAAATAGGGAATATGCATGTGATTCAAATATCGCTTCTTTTTTGTATTTCCAGACAATATTGCTACAGAACGCCACCTTCAAACTCAAGCGTTTATTCTTTATTATAAAATGGAAAAAATATGTTGGCCACTAGATCATTTAGATTTAGTAACTTCAGATCTCATGTATTCACAGAGGAAATTGATAAAAGCACCAAAAGTACATATAGTAAAAACTTTCAATATGGCTCCAATAATGGCATCCGAGATCATTTTGATGTCAAGTTTGTGAATTCAAATATCACCAACAATTTTTCGCATCAGATTCAGAAAGAGATCCAAATCTTATATATGAATTCAATTTATACATAAGGTCGGGTGGCCAAAATTGGACTCAAAACCAGTAGATCACTCCGTAACGTTTGAGAAGTACACGAACTTCAAATTGGCAACCACGCACTTTTCTTTGAAAAAAGTATTGGTAGCTGTTTCACAAGAACAAAAAATTGGTTTTTCAACGACCTAAAATACGACTTAAATACTGACATGGTAGATTACATTATTTGGGAATTTGTAAATTGAAGCAGCAACCACCAGAATGGATTTGCAGATACGGAATCACGTGACCAAAACTGGTAAAATAAGTAGGTAAGTAGGTGGTATGAAAAAATAGTTCATATTAGTAGTCTTCAATTAAATTCCTTATTGATCCCCCAAAGCATTTGTCAAGATATTTTTCTCAAACAAAAAGATAGGCGTAGTTGCTAAGTGAGCTTCTGGGTTAACCACTAATAACGACCGATCTCATGCCATTTGAATTCACAGAGGTGACCTCCAAATGACTTATGAGGCCACTATCCTATACATATTGGAGGTTATCAACATATTAGTTTTTTGATCTCCAGAAGCTTTTACATAACTTCTTTTTGAACAATGCGTCTACTTCATGATTTTTCTGCTACTAGAGTGCCTTTCAATGTGGGATCAAGGATTATCATGGCAGCTCCAACTAGATGAATGGAACCAGTTACCAATACATCCGACTGGCCTTCTGAGGTCAAGTATTCGATAGCTTTTAAAACTGAAGGAAAAACTTCAACATTCTTAGTCGTTGGATTCATCTCTAACCATTGGTCCTTCTTCATGAAACTTCCCTTCAGTTGTTCTTCCTTGGGGATGACGTTATTTTGTTGATCTAAAATTAACCCACCACTGCCTGAAAGGGTTGAAAAATGTTGAAGCACAAAGAAAAGCACCGCCACCGAGCAAACAGAAAATCAGAATCATTTGGAATCATAAAAAGCTTTTTTTCGTTGTTCGCATCACACAAATAAACAATGACCAGCTACACTTCAAATTTATGTTTAATACCAGCCGAGACAGTTCGAAAATAGCAAGAGATATAAAGGCGGTTAATTTAGGACAAAATTATCTACAGGGTGAATTTTTAGTGTGGTGAGAGTACGTAATATGGATTTCAGAAGCATCAAATATTATGAAACGCTGTTATAACATATGATCTATGACACTGCAAGCCCTTACCTTTAGGATCATTATCACTACCAACGTTCGGGCAGAAGATTACAACATCAAAATTGACTTTTTGTAACTCATTAAAAAATATCGCCGGATCTCTAGAACCTAGAAGATTGAAAATTAAAGCTTTATTCCGCCCGCTTTCTTTGCTTCTCTCAGAAAACCACTTTCTGCATAGAGCTATACTTTCAGCAGTATGGGCTCCATCTAAAAAGAATCTGAAATAAAAACCATGACTTTTATCCACTTGTAAAGTTGCGATGAAGTAGTGGAGAATAAATAACCATACTGCTGCCGCAAAAAGCAATCCATACACAAATGGTAATATATAAGCAGTGAGTTGTCAAGGTGGTTTAGAAGAGAAGACTAAACTAAACCAAGATGTTTCAATATGGCTCTCTTGCAAGCAGATTTTCGAGTTTTTTGTACAGCGACCAGAAATAATTGCAGCTTATTAAAATATCCACTAGATGCGAAATGCAACAATCACTTTCAAAATTAATATTCAATTACTTTCTTAACCCAGTTATGGCTAAACTCAAACTATGATGGATGTTCTTTAAAAATGGCTAAAGTAAAACAGTTTTCCTTATGAACAAATTTTTCATGTCAGCATAGTGTACCATCTACAGCATCCCGTATTTAATGTGTAATGTGTACAAGCCAGAAAGAGAGAAACACGTATATTAGAGCAACAGTACCAATGAAGCGCGCTCGACGCTAAAGACAACGAGACTCGCCTATTTGTATTTATCTGTATCGTTTAAAAAATCACAAAAAATATACATATTTGGAAATTCACATTTTGAAAAATCGTACATTTGTCAGTTGTAAGGCGTGTGCAAACGGCATATCTGGGTTAAGGCACTTGGTCAGTTTCACAAAAAAATATTATAAGAGACAGAACTGAAAAACTTAGTTTATCATAAACTATAAACCGTCGTACCAGTACAGTCTTACATCGTTATGTAGTTGTAGTACACTGATCCGACAGCCGTTGGACTTTCAATAATGACGCAGTTAACCAATGTGATAAGACAACAAATTATGAATGAATCAACTCGACCTCATTTCTTTTTATTACCAACATTACCTAGAATTTTTGTGGTTGATGATTTGATATCTTCCAGGCCATTTTGTCAGTTCAATAGCTTTTTTAACCAGCTCCAACGAGAATGACTTGCTGTTACCGTTCGGATCTGAAAATATGTATTTAGAATGCAGATGGAAATTGTGAGTTCCAGAAAACAAAGTGACACGCATGCACCAAGCATTCAGGAATATAAAAAACCGCCACTTCACCGTTGTTTCGAAAAATTTGGAAACAAATCTCACAATCGTTTACACAGTATGGCCGAAACAACAAGGTCGCTTTGAACTGGAACGGGACAATTCATTCTTCTTACCAATGAAGATAATTTAATGATTTCGAAAATAAACTTTGGAGACCATTAGATACAAAGTAACACCACTTGTCACATTGTGTCAAAGCCGGTACATTTCGACTTATGCGACTCGGCTTGTCAATCAGCTGGATCACTAAGTAAATGGTGCTATCAGCGCTGCCGCATTAAACGGCAGTAATTTTCTTGCATTGTTCTTGCGGAACATTTTCAGTAGACTATAAATCCTCCGATTGCTTTCCGCTGTCTCTGTCCAACACCAATACCATACTGATAATTGCTAACAAGATGAAACAGCGTCGTATACTCATACGGACAGAGGCGACACAATCAAAAGTTAGATATTTTTCGACTACTTTTCAAGTGCAGACTTTCAGACTGCGTTGATGCAAACATAGTTATTACTTCCATCTTGCCAAGTGTAAAAATTCGCGTATAGTAAAAATAACGAAATTAGTTCTTCTTCTAGTACTGCCCTTTTAAGTATAGATCCGTACCTCTCTTAATAAATGCTTCACATACTGCTAATGCTAAATTGGCATTCTTCTTCTGAATTTCAGCTGGAAAATTTGTAACATCCTGGATTCCATTATGATATTTATCCACAAGATGTAGGTCACACTAGAAAATGTACCTTATTAATTCCGATGTAGAAAATTTCGGGTTCCTTTAAAATTAAAAGAGAAAACTTCTCATGAGCAAGATAGAACTGATGCGAGAATTTATTATATTCATTTTATAAGGGTATACCTAATGAAAAACTCCTATTATATTTAGTAATTCCTATTAGATAAGGTTCGTATAATTTTGTAACCCCTATTCAAATTTTCATCAGCTATAATTATAAAATAATACACCTTAATTAAAATAGTAAGACATTCATTACTTCAACAATGACAAATAATTTTAGAGTAATTGCCAATCCCAAGAAATCGTCAGTAACTTATATAACTTTTCTTTAACTTCGGCAAGTCTATATTAATTCCTAAAAATGCTTTCAGGGCGTCACACAGTGGGTCGAAATCCAAATTTTACGGCCAAGTCTTAAAGGTGGTTTATAGTCTTTAAGCTTTTTCTACCTAGATATCTACCTTTTGCAGGGGGTAACATACCTTACAGGGTAGGCATCTTTTGTTTAAATTGCTGGATCTTGCATTAAGTTTTTAATTTTCAACTATTCAATAAAGTTTCTAATATAATAATAATAATAATAATAATAATAATAATAATAATAATAATAATAATAATAATAATAATAATAATAATAATAATAATAATAATAATAATAATAATAATAATAATAATAATAAAACAAAAGATACAGGCTTACGCCCAACGTAGAAAGCGGTATAATAAAAGAGTCGCATTCCGCAGACAGAATTATTTATTCCAATATGACACCAGAAGGTTATACCAAGAACTTAATGGAAAAGCTGAGACACCGCAAGACGTGCCGGGAGAGACAGATGTAGTACACTATTGGTCGGAAATCTGGCGCAGGAAGGAAATTATCGACGAGAACACGGAATGGATGAAGGAAACTATTGACAGTTATCAGCACCTAGAACGCATGACGACCGGTGAAAGCATCACGGAGAAGGAAATAAAGGATGTACTCAGTAAAGCTGCCAACTGGAAAGCCGGTGGGCTTGACAGAATCCATAATTACTGGTTAAAGAAGATAAGTGCCACCCATAAAACATTAGCGGTAATCTTAACAAAAATACTAAAAGGAGAAGAAGATCTGCCCACGTGGATGAATAGTGGCATCACGTATCTTATTTACAAGAAAGGAGACCCTTCTAAGCCAGAAAATTACAGACCCATTACTTGTTTATCCGTACTGTACAAATTACTAACTGGGATAATGTCATCTCGTATATATGACCACCTAATAGCTCAACAGTTGATTCCAGCTGAGCAACGAGGATGCTGCAAAGGTTCATACGGATGTAAAGATCTACTATTATATAACAAAAAGATAATGAAGGACGTACACAGTAAAAAGAAAAATCTATCATTATGCTGGATAGATTATCAAAAAGCTTACGATAGCGTACCACACCAGTGGATATTGAAAATACTTAAAATATTCAAAATTGACCCAAACATCATCAATCTGTGTGAAAAAAGTATGAAGGAATGGAACACCCAGCTAAAGATACAATCTAAGGATGCACCTATCAATAATACCCCGCAGATTAAAATCGAATCTGGAATATTCCAAGGAGATTCACTATCACCTCTCCTGTTCTGCATGATGATGTACCCCCTGTCCAGAATGCTAAATCAAAAGCCAAAATTGGGATATAAACTACTCAAAGATGAGCAGCCAACAACACATCTTCTGTACATGGATGATTTAAAGCTATACGCGAGTTCGGACACAGCGCTTGAAGAGCAAATTAAGATAGTTCACGACTTCAGTAGCACAATTCATATGAACTTCGGATTAGATAAGTGCGCCAAAGCGACAATAAAGAACGGAAAAGTGGAAAAAACGGAAAACATAACAGTCCAGGCAAATATTACCATCAAAAACCTAGATGCTGGAGAAAGCTATAAATATCTTGGAGTTTATGAAAACCCAGAATTGTGTAATGATGAAATGAAAGAGACCATCAGTAAAGAATATCTAAGAAGGCTTAGGATGGTACTACGTTCAGACTTAACAGCACGAAATAAACTGCTAGCCATCAACAGTATAGCTGTTCCAATAGTAGAATACAGTTTTGGAATCATAGATTGGAGTCAGAAGGAAATTGCAGACCTAGATCGTAAAACAAGGAAGATGCTTACTATTCATGGACAGCTGCATCCTAGAGCTGATGTAGACAGGCTATATGTGAGTCGTAAAGAAGGAGGTAGAGGACTCAGGCAATTAGAGATGACTTATGATAATACAGTTGTATCCATAGCCAATTATTTAAGAAGCCGTAGAAATGATAAGTTAGTTAGACAAATTTGGAGATGTGAAAGGCACCCTCGAGTTGGAAAGTCAGTAGTGAAGTCAGCGATAAAAATTGTAAAGACACATTTACCGGAAATAGAAAATCAAGCGGTCGAGGATGAAGAAGAATTACTATCTACAGATATTAAGGCCATGACAAGGAAGACCTTGAAGGATAAATGGATACGAAAGCAGCTTCATGGTCAATACGTGAAGAGAATTAAGAGGCCAGGGATTAATGAATGCCAAACGTTTGCGTGGCTCACGAGAGGGAAGGTAAAAGGTGAAACAGAGGCCCTGATAACGGCCGCCCAAGACCAGGCCCTACGTACAAGACATTATGAGAAACATATCCTCAAAATAACAGCAAATGATAGATGTCGAATGTGCAAACAATACTCAGAAACAATAGATCATCTTATATCCGGCTGTCCTCAACTGGCGAAGCACGAGTACTTGGTCCGACATAATAAAATATGCATATACTTGCATCATGCCATCTGTATAAGCTTTGGGATCGCAGTGGAAGAAAAATGGTATAATCACAATCCCACTCCAGTAGTTAGTAAAGATGAGATTACCATAATATATGACTTACCAGTGCAAACAGATCGTGAGATATCCGCGAACCGTCCAGACATAATCGTCAAAAACCAACGTGACAAAACCTGCCTGCTAATAGATGTTTCAGTCCCCAACGATGAAAACGTTGTAAACAAAGAAGCTGAAAAGAAATTGAAATACAAAGATCTCTCAATTGAAATCCAAAGAATGTGGAATCTGAGGACGAAGATAGTTCCCGTAATTTTAGGTGCATTAGGGACGATCCCAGACAATCTACATGAAAACCTAAATCTCATACCAGGAAGGCACAGGACAGCAGACGTGCAGGAAATTGCTTTGTATGGTACAGCAACCATATTACGTAAGACACTATAAGGTAATGGACTTCGTTAGGATGTGGGTAACATCTTCGAAGTACCATAATGAAAATGACCAACCAAAACCGGCCCACATGGACAGAACCAGTTGAATAGATAGGGCTGTGGAAAATAAACAAATAATAATAATAATAATAATAATGTTTATTGAAGTATTAATACATAATAGAATCAAAATACGAGCAAATAATATAACACAAAAAAAATAATACTCCAAAGGGCTGGGGATTGGCATAGCCATTTTTCACCCCCGCCTGAATAGCTAAGGTAAATTCATTAAGTACATTACTATATCTTACTAGGGTATATCATATACATTACATAAAGGATATTTGGTTGACTATAATAATGCTAACAAAACTTTAAAATATAATAAGATTAATAATGGGATTTATTCAGCCACTTGTGGATTCATTAGATTGTAACTGTAATAGTATAATAATAATAATCTCGATACAGTTAACTTAAGGGTCTTAAAAATATGAATACCCCAAACATGGGGTTTGTGTACTGTTGAGGGTAAGCATAATAAGTCAAAGAAATGGATACCCTTCATCACAAATCTAATTTGTTTTAGTCATTAATCAAGAACAAGTAAATAACAATTTTTAGATCCATTTTCCATACACGCAAAACCTTTAAAAATCAAAAATAGGTAACCATTACTTCAGATTCTTGACTAGTTCCAAAATAACACTTAATTACACTGCTTTAAAAAAACATAAAATAGATTGCCATGTGATTTCGTTTATTGTTGCCTGACTTTTAGTTAAAGGGGAAATTAAACAGTAAACTTCCTATAATCAGAAGACATATTTTTTTTTGTTCTTAGTTGTCGTTTTTATACATGCTCGTGAAAAGCGTTATGTTAATTTGTAACTCGGGCTGTTTTTAGGTAATAATCTTTCCCATAGTTTAAGCTTGGAAGATGAGGAAAAATGATCGCGGGTCTACACAAATAGCTACTGCACTTAGGCTAGAAAGGACAATTGTCATACAACTAGCTCTTGCTATACGAGTCAAATATCAGGTTTCAAATCCAAATTAGACAATGCCAATGATAAATTCAATCTTAACAAAAGTGTTTAGCCAGCCTTTTGTAACTCGCAGTGGACAGTATGATTAAGCTTAATATTTCTATTTCTTCAATCCATTCCATTACCTTTAACGCCAACAACATGGTAGATTATAATATAGTAAAACTTAATGAGATGTTACAGTACAATGTTATGCACTATATTCGATAATAATCTTCAAAATGTATATATAGGTCAAAACGATTAAGGTGGTACAAATTTCTAAATCTTAGACTTCTAAAAATACACACCTGAAAGGCTGCAAAATTAGGATTCCTTCTGACTGTGCCTCAGTAATGTAACTCATCTTAAGACTTTTCATTCTCTTAGTGAATATTATATTTTAACGTGAGAGGCAGGTCAACATTTCTGGATGGCGGTTGGGTGCCATGATATTTCTACGAATGGAAAGTGGGTCATGTGATAAATTATTTTGAGGCTCCTTATGAGTACTTTGTAACCCTAGAATATATGAGCTCAACAATATTTCAAAAGGCGGACTTTTTTGCACGTCAAGGTTGAGCGTTTTTGAAAATTGTATTATTTTAACTAAGACAGATTATATTCTTACGTTATAAAGTAATAAGGAGCCTCAAAATTAAGTATTACTCAACCCGTTTTGCATCCAAAAAATCAGACATAGCCCCAGCCGCCTTCCAACTGCCACTCTTACATTTTTGCATCAACACATCTCGTCCACAACAGACCGTGTGTCCCACGTAGATCTATAGCGAACGATTACTCGAAACGTTAGACAATTATGAAAACTTGACGTTATAGTACAAGTGATGTGAGTAATTGGGCTAAAATATTTTCGAAATAGTGGCTCTTTCGGTTGTACCGGAAGTAGATACCAACTTGCTAATTATAAATGGAAAAAATCTGTGTATTATTTAATTTTTGAAATATAAGCGGGATTCTAAAGAGATTTTATGTCCAACATCCTATACCTAACTTTAACCGTTTTTGGGATATATCAAATGTTGTGTGAAAAATAAAAAATGCGGGTCCATTAGTGTCATATTAATTTTTCGTACAATTTTGCTTTGTCTAACGATTTGTAACTGCTCTCTTATAGAGGGGGCTCTATTTTAGTATTCGGTATTATGATAATCAGTAATGCAGGGTGGTCAAAAAAAATTCGATACTATAAAAACTCCCAAAAGCCAATTTTTCTAATCGGACTAAATATCATTATTTTCACGAGTTTCATCCAGGATTACTTTTTGGCGCATTCGATACGGACCACGCTGTATGTTTATATCCCCCATCACTTATTAGGTTACGTTAAGTCACTGGCGAAGCGTCCATGTAACCGTTGTTACCATTGGTAACAGTTAAAAATCTTAAAAATAAATATTTTATGACTAAGTCCTGTGAAATAATTTCATTTATTTGTTTACCAGCAGCGATATTTAATACTAATTCAGTAAATAGCAAATTAGCCCCACGAAAATAATGCTCCCTATAGTGTCTAGGTTTTGCGATCACGATGAAGCTCACTCGCCTCGACTTGGTTGTCGGTTGTTACCATTTTCATTTATGGATACACTTGGTAGTCCGTCGGGGACCGCCGGTACCGGCTCGTGTCTGATCGCGGCCGCCCGAGTGCGTGGGGCGCTGCGACTATTATGTGGGCTTGTTACCATTTTTTGATTTGGTTACTCACTTCTCACTCATCAGTAGCCGTTTTGGTTACCGGCTGTAGTGTGCGTGCAATTAAAGATGGATGAGTGTCGCTGCGTAATCGATCAACTACTTGAAAAGTCATTCTCCTTGTATAATTTTTAAGTAAAAAAGGAGATCACTGAAAATGGAAGACCAAATTTTAAATTAAGTTGGTATATGGAAGCTCTTGGTTGTGTGGTTGCCAAAAAACAGATTGTATTGTTGGCGATGTCTTGTGTTTTATACAGAAAAAAATGCTTGGACCAGCAGCGGAGTCAAAGATTTAAATAGTTTTATTGCTCTAAAGAGGTGATATGAAATTTCTCCGTTACATGTGAGATGTGTAGCCAGTTTAATTTAGTTTGGCAAAACAAGAATCGAAAGATGTCTTAACCAAGCTTTTAGGAAGCACACTTCTAGATACCGTATGTTTTTTGGCAAAACAGGAATTACCGTTCATTTTAAAGTGGACATTTTTTTTTCGGACGGTTTGGATTAGTCATAGCATAAGACGATGAGGTATATCAAGTGCCCCAGACGCTCAGTCCAGGAATATTTACCTTAATTTAAAAATAGTTTAAATAAAATACCTAAAATAAGCAAAAACTTATATTTGGGAGGTTCAAAATTAACTGTTTTTAATAAGTTTTTCACATCTGGTTTTGGTAACAGTTTAGGAAAAGTCACGCGTCGCCACTGCGTTAAGTTGAATTATTAGAACTCTAAGAGCACCTTAACCCTTTTAGAAAACGCCACAGAGTAACCTAAATTTGTTACCACAACAGAGCAAGTTTTTTTTCTTACGTTTCGTTCGATACTCCTATCTTGTAATACTTTAAATGCAGTTTCTGGTTGTGGAACAGTAAATGCAATACATCCTGGTTTCATAATACCGCTTTTATTCCATGCTATTGACTCTATTGTATTACCCAAGAGCTGAGTGTGATCAAAATCTAGGGGAGTTATTGCGGCAACAATTGTTTTCCTGGAAAAATCAAAAATGGTATTTCACTTAGAAATTTCGATAGTTGGTATTCTCTCTTCTTTTGGAATCCTGCACAGCTCAAAGTAGAACAACAAAATGCACAGATTGGTCCGAGCAACTGCTTGGATTCTCATGGTATTATTCATGCAATATTTTAAAGATAGAAATGGTATTTTGATATGCAGGATCGGGTAAAAAATAATATACTTATGGATCTAACCTCACTATATTAGTTGAATCATATTCACCACCTATGCCAACTTCTAGAATTGCTGCATCTACTTGTTCTTCCAAAAATATATGGAAGGCAAGGAGGGTGAGAAAATGAAAATACATGGGCATGTCCCTCTCATTTTCCTGAAAGAGAATTCGTGTCACCACTGTTTTTATGGGAGCAATCACTAACTAACGTTTGAGAAAAAAAATTGGCACTCATCATTGGGATCTTGGGCACGCTAAGAGGCACGAAGTCGATTAAATTGGGGCAAAATTGCGTATTTAGATAACTAAGAAAATGTCACTTAGAAAGTTTCGAAATTTCGAGTACTTCCGGAGATAAACAATTTTTTTCCAAAATCGTTCTTATCTTTTTTCCTGCTTCGTTTGAGATGGGATTTCAAAATAAAAAGTACATCAACACTACCACTTTTCCTTCTCTACAATCATTTTCTCTTATGGAGGCCACATTGGATTTTTACATAGTTGAATAGAGATTTTAAGTCAGGTTCCAAAAAAGTATATGCCAAAAAATGACATTATTACCTATTATTTCAAAAAATCTAAAATTTTCATAGTTGGCTTTAAAAATGACAGACCTCAGCTGCAGCCAGTTTAGATATGAGGGATATGAAATGTGTTTAGGCAGCTGCAACATGGTCGAGCTTTCAATCACCCAAGCGGTTTCTATCAGTTATATAAAATAATACTTTTTTCAATATTTCCACTACTGCCTTTAAATAATATGAAAAAGTTTAAGCATTAGGTTGTTCTTTATTTGATGAGACTAACTTTAGGAAGACGCTATGATATATACAATATCACATCATTATCAGAGATAGGTTGTACACCTATGCCAAGTTCATAAAAAACAGAAGGAAAGCTTGAATACTATCTCAAAATTTCAAGGCCTACTTAGTAAATTCTGTCTTTTTAAACTTAAGGTTTGGCAATGTCAATAAATTGCATATTATACATTTTCGGAATCAGAACTAAAAACTCGAGACGAAACAACATGTTGAAATTCTAATTATACCATCTTATAGAGGACAAACGGTAACAATTTTAATGTACTATTTATTTTGAAGTCGCATCTCAAATGAGGTCGGGAAAAAATTAAAACGATTTTGGGAAAATTCAGTTTCATTCGTTTATATCCCTTAGTGTCCTAAATGCTCAATTTTGCCCTCATTTAATCGACTTCGTATCGCTTACCGTTTCCGAGATCCCAATGGGGAGAGTCCGACAAGTTTTAGTCTTTGTGACTTGAGTCGTACAATATTGGGTATTTCTTAACTTGTTCAATTAATTTCTCCGTTGTGGACATCGTGAAAAACGTGGCGATATGCGATACGCACCACGGCAGCAGTGTTTCTGTAATGAAACGCTATCAAGGCAATAAACCGCGGGCCACCTCACCGCGCTGGTGGTATTTACCGCTCTGAAAACCGAGCACCCTATGGACACAGGTGTGATTATCGCTATCGCCCTACCGCGTCGGTGTGGGGGAACCTTGAGCTTCATAAAACAAATTATCGAGTTTTTGCATCAATGGGATCACTCAATAGTAGCATTCAGCCAACGTTTTTATAACTTTAGCTCAATATACCGCTCATTGGGAGTCTTTAAAATTGGAAGGAAATCTCCGCGAAATTATTACTTGGAAGGTAAGAAATATTTCTTATTGAGATCTTATATTCACTAACTTCAATACTTTGTATGTCATTACTAACCTTTTGAGCATTCAGTTTATCATAGATATTCCAAAATTGTTTTGCAAATTGTGGTTTAGGAATTGGAATCCCATTTATCCTAATCCTTTCTCTCACATCTATGCAATGTGGTGAGGAGAAAAACCCCGTTTTGTATCCATGATGTCTCAAAATTGATTCAGAATAGGCACAAGTGGAACCCTTTCCATTTGTACCAGTCACATGTATCACTGAGAGTTTATCTAAATCTTCCAATGTCAGTCCTGCTCTAAAATATTTTTCAAATGGTTCAAATTACATATAAATCACTATATGAAACAGTAACGGCCAGAACCATATCTACGTGTCATTCAGATAGACCCCATAACATGGCATAATTTAATAGATAAAGAATGCAAGTCTCTAGGAAAATGTATCATAGAAGTCAGCTTTACAAGCTAACTTAACCGAACTTAACTCAAACTTGACTATACCCAATTTCATGAGTAGCAATCACGCTTTGACGTCTACTGAGGTGAACAGCTGATCAGCAAATAACATTTTTTTGTTAGTCTGCAATGTTGGCAATAATGAATCTGCTGTAAAACTAGCAAAAATGTGTTTGTAGCGTTTATGTTTTTTGTCTGCAAAGGAACTTTTCTAAATAAAAGAGCTTTTAACAAGTACAAAATGAATCTGTAGCATACAAAAAACCAAAACAATATGGCTTGCACTTAAGATATCTATTGCAAAGGTCAGCTAGCACATTGACACAATCTGCGTCTTTTGTGCTATATGTGAACCATCACCTCTGGTCTTACTATTGACTCAAACTGAAATCTAGTGAAATCTGGGGATACAGACTCTTGTGGACATGCATGTTTCATCAATAACATATGCCTCATCAGCACAATTAGTCAAGGAGATGGAGAAGATCAAACTCAACACACACAGTAACTTGGTACCTACTACTTGTCAACTTGTCACAACCTCTGGAGGTTGCTGTAATATGATGGGCTCAATCTTCACTATCCCCTTACACATTTGTGTCAAGATCTAGGTTAAGGCGAAAACATGTCTGTCCAAAAGAAAGCAATGTATATAATGTGTAAAATTATGTGAATTAGGGGTTGAAAGTCACAGATACTGCACCATGGGAGGTCTACTGCTAAACTGACACAGGCTGTATGACCAAACCCAGTTGAAATAATTTTATCATCTTAAGTAGTATCATAACATGCTTTTGATCAATCTCAAATTGTCAACTCACCGATTCAGAAACTTAATCATTTGCGCAATCTTATCTGGTACTTGTCCCTTTCCAGCATTCTGTATATAATGAGCATTGCTCTGAAGATTATTGAGTGCATTGATAGCCGCCTACAATCAATTCAACTTATTTAAAACCTTTTATAATGAATACTAAGCTAAATTCTATTCATCGTTATTAAATTGAAAATATACTATAACCTTAATGCCATACCTCATAATCAGGGACTTCGGAATGCGGTATTACGTTTTTCGACATGCCCGAGAAGTTGCGTACAATTTTTAATAGAAAAAAACGAATTAACATTTTACATTTTTTTAATTAAAAACATAACCTCATTCGCCTGTAGACTGATGCTGCCATCTATTGATAGAAGGAAGGAATAGCGCAGTGGGCAAGTTCTCAGAAAACTTATGTCTTGTGTCCTATACTTATTTTATACAAGTTATTTTTACGTTAAGAGATGTCGCCGCACCAACCGAAATTTGTATTGCCATGAATGTATTGCTATCTTGGCTTCTATGGCTTCTACAGTCAAGATAAATAACTACGGATATAGGTTACAGGCCGTATGCTCCGCTGTTCGATTTTCGTCCACCGGCGCGCTTGACGTCACGCGGAGAGTGATTATCATTTTTGGGTTGATATGGAAAACGTGCATATTTTCACCTACGGCTCAAACGGCTGGACGGATTTTCACATATGAGGTGTCATTGGATTCGTCTTAGCGGTGCGAGTGACACTAGCTACATTGAAATTTTATAAAAGACAAAATGGTGGATTTTAATTAAAGATTTCAAACTTGTAATTCCTACTTCATAGGCTACAGGTCAAACGGCTTGATAGATATTCACATATGAGGTGTCGTTGGATTCGACTGAGCGGTGCAAGTGACACTGGCTACATTAAAATTTTATAGAAAGCAAAAAAGTGGATTTTAATGAAATATTTCAACCTTGTAATTCCTACTTCATAGGCTACAGGTCAAGCGGCTTGATAGATTTTCACATATGAGGTGTCGTTGGATTCGTCTAAGCGGTGCGAGTGACACTGGCTACATTAAAATTTTATACAAAAAAAGTGGATTTTAATGAAAGACTTCAACCTTGTAATTCCTACTTCATAGGCTGCAGGTCAAACGGCTATTTTAGTATGTACTGTGGAGCAGGATTAACATGTTTATATCATAATACTGTACTTACATTTATCCTTATTCACTCCACAGAACATCATAAGTAAATGTAAGTGTGAAAATGTACGCAAGTAGAAAAGTATAAAAATTGAGTTATCTTCTTTTTACAGTAAGGTGGTGGTATAACAATAAATGGAAATGACTTAGTCTAAGCAACAATTTTTTCCCATTTCCTTTTACGATTTTTCTGGTCTTTCTAACTTTTATTCAGTTCTTTGATCCGGAAGAACATCCTTAACCTGAAAAACAGTTTTTTAGCTCTTTCAGGGCAGTCAATGTTGCTGCTCTTCAACAGAAGTTCACCTATAAAATTCTGCTTTTTTGTCACTATTACGTCCCCATTGCTTCTCAATTTGATTCATGAAAGTTGCGTAAGGTTTTGATAATCCATCCTCACTGAGATGGTCTATCCATGAATAAGTTTCATTTGAGAAACTTTTCTACCTCTCATCCTGCAATTTATTGCAAACATAGCCGGCCAAATTTTCCAGCCCGTCATACTCGAGCTCATCTACTTATTTCTTCCACTAAAACTTGCTCGGTATAGTCAGCTGATACTTCAGGTGCATTCAGTTTATTCTCGTTAATGATGCAGTTAGTAGATAGTGGATAGTGGAATGTCTGGAGTATCCTCTGACTCTACGCTGCAATAGGTACTCTGAGTATGCGCCTTCGAATCGCCCCAACATATATGTCCTTATTCTATACTTAAACTCTAAAGGACTTGTATGGTCATGAAGACCATCTTTTGCCCTGGTTACTCCGAAAAAATTTTCTATCACATCTTGATTAAGACGTCTTGTTAACAGGTGTTGGACGCTGAAGCGACATTTCAGATCCTCTAGAGCATTTTCTAGCAAACCTTAGCGCTTTTTACATTGACTGTATTATCTTTTTGTGAGATGTAGCAATTTTTTTGCTAAAGTTTGGGTCTTGAGGAAAACTGTGGAACTTCATTTCTTTGCAAAGATTCCGTTTAGATTGTTTGTCGGAATTACATCCCACATCAGCACACCGCATTTTTATCAGGTATGTGTAACTAATACAACAAGTCACAAAACCACCAAAAAACACCAACAAATCGCACTATATAGTATTAACCACGATACACGTGAACTGCAGTAACGTAACGACAATCCTGCCGATGGTAACCAGGAGCCGATAACTCTCCGGGTGACGTCACGAAGTGTATGTGTACCGTGGGTTACACTACACCCGACACCGGGAAGGCTTATCAAAAGCTACTTTTCAGGATTTTTTTCAACTTTTGTAATGTCCCAATTTCACGTTCTTATCATCATTTCATGTAACAAAAAATATTAGATTCGTCAATAGCGAGTTATTACATACGAAACTTATTGCCTCATGTTTGGTTTGTAGTTTGTTGTTACAAATTATGTGATAAGTTCAATATTCAAGACTCAAGCCTCACTCAAGCTGATTTAAATAAAAATTCTTCAGAATAATACGATACGCTGAAAAAGATGCTAGCTTTGTTGTATTCGTCATTGTATGTCAGAGCGGTCCGTAGGACCTTTGCTCTTGGTTAAAGTCTTTTTCAGTTTAACATACGAAATGTCATCGTGTAGACTAGGTAGTTTTGTGTGCAAATAGTTTGCTTGTCAGGATCGCAGTTTGATGACTTTTACGCAACACGTACAGCACAGAGCTACAAAACGAGTTCATAACAAGTGTACAACAGCTTGTGCTAAAAGTTAACATCTTGTAGAAATGTCGAAAAAACCGACGTGAACTAGATTCCCAGAACACGACTGGGCCTCCAGGGCAGTGTCATCTTCATAAAGATAGATTTGACAATTGTTGGTGCAAGGGACGTCATGAATAAAAAGTGAATAAAAGACTAGTCCAAGAACCGAACCCTGGGGGAAACCGGCTTTGATGTCGACGTATTGTCGACAGAACGTTATTAATTTTGATCTTTATGAATCAATTTTTAGAGGAGGATCTTGTGCTACACCTTATCAAATGCCTTTGAGACATCCAGAAGCAAGATGCCAGTACTTTTGTTACGGATGAATCTTCTGGTTACTCGGTCAACAAGCCTAACCTCTTGTAACTCCTCACTATGCTCAAGCCGGAAGCTAAATTACACGTCAGGAATCACATTGTGTTCCGAAGAGAAATGTTCAAGGTGACGTAGGATCACCTTTCCAGAGAGCTTAGAAGGAGCTGGCAGTAGACTAAGGAGTATCGAGTAATAGCTTGTGTGAAAGGTCTTTCGAAGTCATTTATTTTGAGGTTTGATTTTTTAAATCCGTCGATTCGTTTTCAAGAAAATTAGAAAAATATTTATCTTAATTTGTTCAGATAGAAAACAAAAACAGGAAAATATGACTTATTATTTCAATAAGTGTTCAAAGTGTGGCGCGTTATTGACCATCAATGATATAGCCGATGTTTAAATTTCTGTCGGACATTTTCAAAAACCTGTTGTGGGATATCATGGCAGCCTTCGATGATGCGTTGACGAAGTTCATCCAAACTTTCTGGTTGGGGAGTAAGCACAATAAATTTCAAATCGCACCATAGAAAAAACTGTAATGGCGTCACATCAGGAGATTTAGCAGGCCACTCTAGAGGCCTTCTAAGCCCTATCAATTTATCTGGAAACCTATACTTAGTGGCGCGGTGTGATCATCTTCAATGCACTCTACCATGGTGACCTAATTGCTTTAGCAGTTATAGCTACTTTATCAAATAAATACACAGAACCTGTATTAATATTGTCACATATAACTTCGTATTTCTTTTTCTTTTTGAGTTGTGTACATTTTCACAATTACATCTATTACGGTTAAGACTGTTCAATTTATATTTTTTTTAAACGAATTCCAATAAAATGTTTTTTTGTCCGGAATATTTTTTGTCACACCTTTTGGGCCATTTTGAACAAAGAAGGTCTCAAGTAACTGTTCTCTAAAGTTAACCGTTTTCGAGTTATAGGTGTCTGAAAAAACCCTAAAAATGTATGTTCAATGCTTAAAAGATCGGTTAAAAATTAGAATTTTTGAGGTCGTCATGTATTTAAATTACAGAAAAATCCTTGCTCGACAAGAGTGTTTTGATAACTTTGTGTTGAAGAGATTTTTATGCTTGTCCGTCCTGCTAAAATTCGCAAACTTTCATTTCCACAGGCTGACCTGTTCAACTTGTCGTAGATTGGGATCAAATTAGGAACCTCAACTCCACCTGTTTGTATAGAATCAGAGAAAATCTATGATGTGTTAAAAATAAGTGATATATAGCATCAGACAGCGACGGGCTATATAATAATTTTAATGACACTAGGAGCATAGACGAAAAAGTCCCAAACCATTCACAAGCATCAAACAGTAGGTAACCGGAAATAAACCTATTGTTTCGGATAGCTGAGTATTTTTTGTAGAAAAATTTCCCGCGCATTTTACAAGTATTGATTTGACAATCTCCCATTTTTTGTAATACTCCTTACTTTACAACTAAGTCATTAGAATTGACGATAGGTACTGCTCAATAACGTAACAAGGCACCCCAAGCTTTACATAAATAGTGACTAACAGCTCTCCTAGTCATTAATATTATGGATATCATATTTCAGACAAGACATAAGTGACAGCTTAAAAAAAACATCCATTTACTAATGGCTTGTACTGGCAGTCGCTATGTTATGGTTATGAGCATACAGAAAGTGTTTCACTCGGTTTGGGTGCTGCTACAACTTTAGATGATGATATTTGTTGCAGGTTAGTGAATCACAGAAATAATTTTGATTAGAATTTAAATCAGTACATTGCAGGATGAGCATTATTTTATCACTGATAACTCGAGTGTGATCGCATTCCTGTAATGAGGGGGTATGTAAATAGTGAACAAATAGATAAACACAATAGTTTATATAGCAGAGGATATAGCATAGATTGTTTGTTACTAAAACCCGGCGGGCAAGTTGAATCACAGTCCAACTTCTTCACTGTTTACACAGTTTGTCGAATTGAATGCTTTTAAAAAATGAAATGTCAAAACTATATTTTTTACAAAAACATGTGCGATTGTCAAATTTCTTTTATTGGCCATTTCAAAACCAAATTATTTACATAAAACACAACTAGCTGACATAGATTCAAGGAATGGGGATGGGCTCTATAGATGCGCTGATTTTGATTAGAATAGTTTTTTTAGAATGTAATGTCATGTACTTAAAATGTTAAGACATTACGGATATACGCTCATATAAAATTTAGTTGTAGTTACCGTTCTTGGCGTGTCAAAGTAAGACTACCAGTATCACTTTATATATCTCTATCTCCCTCATATATACACATGCAACCTACCCCTGTGTGAACGTTTGTTCGGTAATCTCAAAGATATACGTTTTTTTTATTGTGTCTTTCAATCTCGAAAACTTTGTCGTTAGGTATACTATTCGTCATTGTCTGTCAGAGTGGTCCGTAGGACCTTTGCTCTTGGCATTGCTAGTTAGTATTCGGCAATTTTAAAATGATCCTAAAATTAATTTTGGGATTGGTTGTTGAAGAAAAATTATAATTTTGGTTGGACCTAAAGTCGCACGATTTAATTTTGTTCACAGTGCGAGTAGCGGCCTTGTGTGCTTGCGAACTGTGTAGTCTACTGACTCGCGCAACAAAGGGTTGTTATGCGATTCTGCTTGACTGTAACGTAGCTGCGCCTGTTGTTTGAGAGAGACCTTGACATCCCTTAGGTAAGGGATGTCAAGGTCTCTGTGAAGGGTCTCGTAGGAAACATATCATGAGGCGTTAGTGATTGTACGTAAGGTTCTGTTCTGCAAAACCTGCAGGCTGCGCAAATGCGTTTTGGCGAGAAAACACCAAGCCGCACTTGCGTAAGTGACCGCTGGTCTAATAACCATCTTGTATAGCCGAACTTTGTTGATCAAACTTAATTTTGATGTTCTACACAGCATAGGGTAGAGTTGCCGGAATTTAGTTTTTAACGCTTCAGTGTGCTTCTGACAGGTTATCCCCTTGTCAAGAGTGACACCGAGATACTTAGCAGAGCTTTCCCATGGTACCCGAGCTCCATCCACTGAAACCTCAGACGGGGCGCTGCTACTTTTATTAGTGCAATAGATTGCCTGCGTTTTCGAAGGATTAATTTTGATCAGCCACCGATTCACCCATTCCAATACCTCGTCCACTGCACTTTGCAGCCTGTCGTGAACTAGATCCCCAGAGCACGACTGGGCCATTAGGGTAGTGTCATCAGCATAGAGATAGGTTTCACAGCTGCTGGGGCAACGGACGTCATGAATAAAAAGTGAATAAAGGACTGGTCCAAGAACCGAACCCTGAGGAACACCGGCTTTGATGGGCCGTGTTGTCGACAGAACGTTATTAATTTTGATCTGAAATTTCCTACCCTCGAGAAAGGATTTCAAAAGTTTTAGGAGCCAGAAGGGGAAGCCCTTATGGATCAATCTGTAGAAAAGGCCCTTGTGCCACACCTTGTCAAATGCTTTTGAGACATCCAGTAGCAAGATGCCAGTACTTTCGTTAGGGGTGAACCCCCTGGTTACTCGTTCAACAAGCCTTATGGCCTGTAGCTCCGTACTATGCTCAGACCGAAAGCCAAATTGCACGTCAGGAATCACATTGTGGTCTGCCGAGAAATTTTCAAGGTGACGTAGAATCACCTTTTCAGCGAGCTTAGAAGGAGCTGACAGTAGACTAATGTGGCGGTAATCCTGGGGGAATATCGAACCCACCTTCTTTGGAATCATTATGACATCAGCGGTCTTCTACGCCGTTGGGAAGTGCTGGGTCCTTAGCATGGCATTGATTATTGCCTCGAGATAAGTTAAGGACTTCCGCGAAAGTAGCTTCAGCGCCTTATTAGTGATTCGATCCTCTCCAGTTGCTTTACGCACCTTGAGGTCTTTAATATGACCTTGGAGCTCTGCTGGTGTGCAATGCGCAGTCTCAGGAGATTCCGCTGATGTGCCGTGCAGCTCTTCAATTGAGGAATCTTCTGAAGATTCCTCTGAGGAAAAATCACTAAAGGAGGCACTACTGCCACTGACGCCGTTGGCCCTAAAATATCTCCTGACGGATCTTGCAATATGTTGCTCCTCGTCGAGGTCATTATCAAGGTCATAGTTGGGAGAGAACTGACTTTCCATTGCATCAGCGAAAACCTCGACCTTTTCCTCTGTCCTACAGACTATGCCCCTAGGACCGTGGATGTGCGGGAGTTGCTCTCGCTTTCCGTTTCTGAGCGACTTTGCAACTTTCCAGAGAGGAATACTTGAGTCAAGCATCCCCGCCAGAAAGCCGCTCCATTGCTCATTACGGAATTCATGAAGAGCATTTCTCACTTCATGAAAAAGGTTCGTTGCTCTGTCAATGTCATCTGGGTGACAAGACCTCTTCGCTTGCTTAATTGCAGCTCTTTTGACAGACATTTTCTGACGAAAGTCTGCAGAGAGGAAAGGTCTGCCGTGTCGTCGTACTGCTAGTACAGCTGCACGCTGCAGAGCTTGCTGAACGGAACTTGTCCACTCCGCTTGAGCAGCATCTATATCGTTCTCATCATCTATGATCGGGATATTGGGAAACTCTCTAAGGAGCGACTTGTATAGCTCCCAATCAACCATTTTCCTTGAAAGAGTTTCCCCTTCCAAGGTTTGCTCATTACCCACTTCCAGTACGATAAGAAGATGATTGCTCGAAATGTCATACATGATTCGAGAAATGACACTGAATCTACAGTTTCTAGATATCGCGAAGTCAATGACATCTGGTGCCTGAAGGTGATTAAATGGGTGGTGGGTCGGCTTTTCAGTGCTGTGTATGAGGTAGCCGTTTTGTACCACATGGTTGTAAAGTCGAATCCCACTGGTGGAATTTAACCTAGTGTGCCATGCTCGATGTTTACAGTTAAAGTCCCCTGCTACAATAAGCGGACCCGAGCAGTCAAACAGGACTTCCAGATCCGTCTCTTGCAGTCTGGCACCACATCTGACATAAACCGATGTGATTTTCAACGAGATACCTCCCGTCATATTCACTACCACGGAAGTTGCCTCGATGGCCTGCATCTCAGCGTTTGTGCTTCTGTAATAGTCAATACCACGTTTTACTAGCACTGCCAAACCGCCACCCCGTCCAGTTAATCTATCAGTGCGGATAACATCATAATTCGGGAAAGCTAGACGATCTCCCGGATTAAGCAATGTTTCCTGCAGCAGAGCTACACCTTCGTTCTCATCCAAAAGAGCTTGATGAAATTTCCGTTTTTTGGGGACCCAAACAATTCCAGAAAAGAATGTTGAATTCAGGCTGTCTGCTATTGTACCTAGCCATTTAGCGGAAAGATCGCCTGCAATGCAGTGGCGCTTATCTGGGGACTAATAGTCTGCTGTAGGGACCTGAGCGCTGTTGCTAGGTCCACATTTTGAGTAGTCCTAGATGAGCTCGAAACAGCAGGGGCAGTTGAGGTGTCATCTCTTGCTGTGTCCGCGTAGGACTGCCCGCCTTTGTGCGATGACTTGTAAATTTCTCCTAGGAGTAAATCTACAGGTCGGACTATTTGCCGGATGGTCCCCCCCACAGTTCGCACATCTGCGAACCTCTTGTCCTGTTTGAGGGCACATATGTGTCATGTGGTCTTGGGCACATTTTAGACAATTTGGCGGCGCAGTGCAATACGACTGTGCGTGTCCATATTTCTGGCAGCGGTGACACTGCCTAATGAGTCGAGAGTTCTTCTGAACTTCGACTCTGATATAGAGCCCCAGCAATTCGTGCTCGTTGAACACTTGCTGTGACTTCTCCGTCTTATGCAGGATCACCACCACCAACGGCATGGGCACGCCGCCGTTGCGCTTTAGGCGAACGATGTGAAAGGGAGCGTAACCCTTCTGTTCTAGCTCACCTTTGACCTCCTGTTCGGTGTTTGATGCTGGGATACCTCTGATAACCGCATGGATGTTGGGCAAAGGGAAAGTGTGATGAGGAATGTTTTCCTCTTTGAAAAGACGGATTATCCTACGATAATCGTCTTCGGTTTTGGGGATGATACGTATCCCAGCGTCAACGGCGACTGCTCGTTCAATACGAATACCAAGACTTACAAAGGAATAGTTTAAGGTGCGCCATTTTGTCGCATCTCTCAACACGATTGAAGTAATACGCACCTGGCGAGGCGACTGGGCCTGTGTGTTTAGAGATCCGGTGGATGGCAAGGAAGATGAGTTGCAGCCAGCCAATGGATCAGACTGCACTTGGGGTATAACAGGAGGAGCACTCTGTGTGGATGCTGATAAAGGTCTTTCCCTTGGCTGACTAATAGAAGCGGTAGAGGGTACAGACACAGACGGTTTTAGGTTGACTGAATGTTTGTTATTTGGGGATTTCCTCGGTAGCGGAGGAAATTCTGTTTTGCGCAGTCTCACTTTGCGACGTCGCACAGGTGTGAAAAGATCACCTCATCGGTCTCAGTATGTAGGTCACTCGAATGGCTGTTATCTCGTTTTCCTTCTCCAGTATATCGGCATCACTGGCGACATCTCGTTTTGGTTTTCTGGAATATGTTCCAAAGTAGCGCTGCACTCCGCGCCAACTCCACTCAAAGCAGTAGAGGGCCCCTCGGGTTCAGCTTCCATAATATTATTGCCTTTTTTCTTGACAAAATATAAAAATTTCTCCGGATGCAAAAATTTGGCAATTAATGGCACATGATGCACATCTGTCGTGATTTGTCGTTACGTATGACTGCCCTTCATATTTGTCACTGACAACTTACTTGACATCGGCGAGTATTTTGAGTTGTCCTATTATCAATTTTCAATATAAAATTGTGCAATGCCCGGAAATACGATCAATAGAGAAGGCCGACAGCTCGTGCTAAATTTATTAGAGTATTTCCAGGAATAGAACAAAAACAGTGGTCCCTTGTTACCCACTTCATGCGTACTGGAGAGAGTAGAAGATGCTCTAAAGATTAGTCGGCGCAGTATTCCGGCCATGGTACGGAGACTCTATCTGTTTACTTATTTCGTAAGGTGTTGATGACGTAACCACCAAGAACGGTGACTACAACTATAGTCAACGCCAAACAAAGTGGCGTGCACGTCATCACGATAAAAATTCCCCGACCTAATGCCTAGGTTTCTATCACAAACAATTGCTCTATTGCAGTTTCATATTAATGTGATATATAAATTGTAAAATGGTCATTACTCTCTTATTATGGTTAATAGTCATATAAACATTGTTATTAAAATATCACATAAGTTGCTTTCTGATAAATTTAGACGCATTATGCGAAATAAAATGTTTTGCAAACGCTCCAATCACTTATCGACATGTAAACGCACTAAACCGATTTCGCAGCGTTGACACATTGTCACCTTGAAACTTATTTAAACTGGGAACTGACATTTGTATTAATTTTGACACTGAATCAATTTGTGGCATTTCAAATCTTTATAAATCCTTTGGCCCCGCATACTGTAAATCAACAACTGTTTGTTTCAAAACAAAATTATTCATTTTACGAGTAGATGAAGGCAATTTTGGTATATAAAGATGCCCAAACAGTTAAATAGTCGGTGTAAGGAACTCGTGGCCTCGTTAATGCACTACTTTGAGCAAGAAAGGGACAACAACGGGCGTTTGTTGCCTTTAAATGCTGTTTAAGAGGTAGGTTACTAAAAATTATATGTAATGTATATTAATAATAGTGAAATCTTATTTCATTTTTTGTAGCGTGTTGCTGCTGCTTTAAAAATTAGTTTAAGGACAGTTAGTCGTATTTCCGAGGGTGTGAAAAGTGATGCAAATTTAGAATCGCTCAAGAAAAAGCGGAGTTATATTAAACGTGTAACCAACACAGCGACATTGGATACAAGTGCCATTCGAGAAGTGATCTATAATATGTATCACAAAAGTAAGATCTTGTTATAATAACTTATCAGAAATTTGCATTAATTTGTTAACTAAATAATAATGTCATATTACACATGGTTTCAAAAGAACAAGTTACGATACAAACTTTATGGTCTCGATTAAGAGATAGGGCATTATTTGATGGTAGTGCCACGTCTTTAAGGCGGTTGCTTAGAGATCTTGGATTTAAGTGGCTTAAGGACAATCCGCGACGAGGGCTCATGGAACTACCAAGTATAGCTTTGAAAAGGGTGGAATTTCTAAGGCAATACAATCAAGCCAAGGTTGAGGCCTTATACCAGTTTGTCTTCCTCTATGAAACTTGGATATTTCAAAATGGGACCATAGGTCGCTCTTGGCAAAATGGAAACCAAAAAAGCGTGAAAGCTATTAAAACAGATGGTAAAAGGTATGTACTTTTACACAATTTGCACTATAAAATTTAAAACTAATATATTTTAGATACATTATATTACATGCTGGAAATGAAAATGGGTTTATTGAGGGTAGTGAAGCGATATTTTCTTCGAAAACAAAATTGAGCGATTACCATGGAGAGATGAACCAGGACAATTTTTTGAAATGGTTTCAACATCAGTTATTAGAAAAATTGGAGAGTCCATCTATGATTATACTGGATAACGCCCCTTATCACAGCATGATATTGAACAAAGTGCCCAACAATGCATGGACAAAAAAAAATATCCAAGACTGGTTGACAAATCAAAACATACCATTTTTAAACACAATGTTTAAAACAGAGCTATTGAGTATTGTTGCTCGGTACATAATGCTTCTTAATTATATATATTTTGGTCGACAGTTTATATTTCTTTTGTTTATTCCTATTCTTAAAATAACTGCTTTTTTAGAAACAAACCACCTAAAATATACGTGATTGATGAATTGGCGGAACAACATGGGCACAAAGTTCTTCGTCTGCCTCCTTACCATTGTATATTTAACCCTATTGAGTTAATTTGGGGCATAGCAAAAGGTTACTATAACAGACATATTAGTAGAGATGGTAACAGTGAAAAAGACTGTTTGGATATGTGGAACGAGGCTCTACAAACGGTTACCCCAGACATGTGGAAAAATAGTGTTCGACATACTGAGCAAGAAATTTTTAAATGGTATGAAAAAGAACGCATTTTTGATCGACCAGACATCGAACCTTTAATAATCAACTTTGAGAGTGATGAAGATTCAGATTCAGACAGCGCTGAAGAAAGAAACTCCGACTAACTTTATTGTACAGAAAAAGCTTACACCAGTAGCTTACCTAATTTTAGAATGCATTTTTCTCTATGAATTCTGTAAAATAAATACCATGCATAAAATTTGGAGGACCCCATTTGGATTTTTATTCAGTACCTTTAAGCTATCAATTAAATATGGTAGTTTCATAGTGTCATCTGATCAATAATTGTCATACTTAATGATTATGCAAGTACAGATCTATAATTTTATTATACTATTATTTTTGTTCTCATTTGAGGTTAATATTGCTTATAAACCTAGATATGTAAATAATAATTATAATAATAATAAATATTATTTAACAAAAAGTTTGGCAACAATGTAAATTTTTCAACACACCCACCTTGATGACGTGCACGCCACTTTGTTTGGCGTTGACTATATATTAAAGCAATTCGAGGAATCATATATACGGTGTTTCAGAAAGAAGTATCAATATTTCTAGGGTAGAATCATCAAAAAATCATCAACATTCAAAAATAAAAAAAAAACTTCGTGTAAATATGGGTCCAAAGATGCTCCCCTGCCGAGATACAGGGTGATAACGAAATCAAAAGAATATATATATATATATATATATATAGAGAAAAAAATATCATGCGGAGAAAGGTATATAACAAAAATAGGAAAATAATGGACAAAATCCGCAAAAAGTGGATTCGAGCAGAAAATAGGATAGGTAACCCGAGCGATACGTATTTCTGCTGGTTGGCTTCATCAGGCCCAAAATGAATGCACATATGCAACTACAAAAGTAGAGACACATGCCCATACATCCGGATACGGGTGTAGCCTGAGGAAACAAAGTTGGAGAGGAAAAAAAGACACACGAAGTCCAAAATTTTTGTTATATATATATATATATATTAATTACTGAGTCAGTATTTCAGATTTTTAGTGAGCACATAATCAGCAATAAGCACTAAGTCGTTTTAACTGTGCGGAACATATGTCCAGGGACTTGGATATCAAAATACATATTTCAGTATAGAATATACCAAAAGCTCCAAAATATGTATATACAGGGTGTCCCGAAAAAAGTGTGCAATGTTCTACCAGCAGTTTCTAGAGCTTAAAATAGGAAGAAAAGTTTATATAAACATAGGTCGACAAGCGTCCCCTCAGGGCGCTACGATTTTTTAAAGGGGCTCCCCTGAAGATGGTTTTTCCTTAATATTTCCGAAACGTGTTGGTTCTCTAACCTAGTTTTTTATGCTGGATTTAAAAATATTAACAATTTTCGGCAGTTTTGTTTGCAAGCGTATGTAACTGGGACGGACTCAGGTTATTTTAGCCCCAATAGTTTTGTGTGATTCTATTTTTGAAATTCAATTTTAGAATTTGAAAACTTAGGGTTTTCTACATAAAAAACGGTACTCGTATCGAAGATCGATAAATTGTGCCATTTTTGAACAAAATCAACTACAAAATTTGTCACATGATAGGAAATGTACTGCAAATTTAAATGAATTGTTGATTACTTATACATAGTTAGCCATGACTGCAAACAAAAGTTGTTTTGATTTCTTATGACTTATTTTGACGTTAAGCTGACATTGTTAGCACTGTAAAATTACTAGATTAAGATCAACATTTTTATTAAATCGATTTAAAATGCCAAGATTTACAGACAGAGAACTGACTGACATGCATTTTGTGTACGGGTTTTGCAATGGCGGTCGCAAGAGAATATCAAAGAAGATTTCCCAATCGCATAGTACCTGGACGTCGAATGTTTACTGATATTCACCGGAATTTGTCAAACCATGGAAGTTTTCAGCGCATGCAGGGATCAGGAAGGCCACTGGGAAATCATCGTAAGGATATTGCTTTAAATATGTTTGAAAATAATCCGCAAATAAACATACGAAATGTTTCAGAAATTATGGATATACCTCGAACAATAGTAAGAAAAATTTATGAATACCTATTTGATAGTTATCCTAAAAATAATAATTTTATATAGGAAGAATGACAAGAATGCAAGGATTACATCCTTATCATTTTGAACGGGTACAGCATTTAACGGAGGCAGATTTTTTACCACGAATCGAGTTTTGCCAGTGGATATTAGCAAATGAAAACACTATTCCTAGAATATCATTGTCGGATGAGTCAATATTTACTAGGAATGGTGCTTTTAATTTCCATAACATGCATCACTGGTCAGATGAAAATCGCCGTACAAATTTCTAACATAGATTTTCATTGAACTTATGGGCAGGAGTAATTGAGGATCAAGTAATTGGGCCTATTGTATTTCCCAATCGTCTTAATTCCGAGATGTATCTGAACTTTCTTCAGAATGAGCTCATGGATATAATACTATTGGATGTGCGCCAGCAGTTTCAAGAAAATATGTTTTTTCAACATGATGGCGCCCCTGCACATTTTGGACGCAATGTTCGAAATTGGTTGAATGTTGCAATAGAAATATGTATTTATGTAATATTTACCAATTATTAAATTAGTTTTTCCGTTGCCATGGCTAATTATTCAACAATTCATTTAAATCCGCAGTACATTTCCTATCATGTGACAAATTGTTCAGTTTTATTTTATTCAAAAATGGCACAATTTATCGATATTCAATAAGAGTACCTTTTTTATGTAGAAAACTCTAAATTTTCAAATTCTAAAATTGAATTTCTAAAATAGAATTACAGAAATATTTTGGGGCTAAAATAACCCGACTCCGTCTCTGTTACATACGCATCCAAACAAAACTGTCTAAAATTGTTAATATTTTTAAATTCGGTTTAAAAAACTAGGCTAGAATACCAAATTTTATGTCTTTATCTCAACACGTTTCGGAAATATTAAGGAAATACCATCTTCACGGGAGCCCTTTAAAAGACCGTAGCGCCCTTAGGGGACGTTTGTCGACCTATGTTTATATAAACTTTTCTTCCTATTTTAAGCTCTAGAAACCGCCGGTAGAATATTGCACACTTTTTTCGGGACACCCTGTATAAATAAAATAAATGTTTACCATTTAACACAGACAAAATGTCGCCTTGCCATTTTACTCCCGCGCGCCACAGTTTATTATGGCTAAATATTCCCGGGGTCATATGTAATTAGTGCTAAAATTAGATAATCATTCCGAAGAAGGGCGGATACCAGATATTAGACAAATAATGAAAGTACGCCTTTTGTTACAGATATACCTAGTGAAGAATCCACGGCTTCTGTAAATTTGTTAACCCAGCTTAAATGGCCAGCAGACGACTCAGATATCAAATGTGCACAGAGATGTATCTCAGCGCTTTATTATTATGTGTGTATCCCTTTAGGAGTAAGTGGAGTAAAATCATAGGTTTGGGCATCTACACAGCAGTAATGACAACAGTACATTCCTCTGCATGGTACCGAGTCTATATAATCAGCGCGGACGAACATCGTATAGACGTTTTTGATTTCAGTGCTATAACAGTTTTAATCACTACTTCACTATCACTGAACACTATTTTGGCCTGGAAGTCCCAGTTTGCTAAGAAGCAGTGGAGGTTTTTGCTTGAAGCGCTGCCAAAGAATCCAGGAAGAAATCCTGGCAGAATAATTTGGTATACTACTGTAATCTTACTTGGCATAGCAAGTGTCCACGAATACCAAGAAATGCATTTTCTACCGAGCAGACTTTTACATCAAACATGCATGTCACTAATCTATGTTGGAGTTTCTATAAATAGCATGTTTGTGAACAAACTCTTAAAATCTATTGAGGCTAATGTTGTAGATATTTTGACCAAACTGGAGGCAGAAATCGAAACTCAAAATCGTATAGTTGCATCAAAAATGGGCAGCAATGACTGTTTTTCAATGTACATGTCAGTTTCACAAATGGATACGATAGTAACATCTTATTTGAGAGTTCTGAGGGGGATACAGTACTTTAATGAATTATTTGGGCTAACAATTGTTGGACTGGCGATCTTATTGACATCATCTATAGCAAATGCTTTGTATATTTTATTCATCAAGGACACGCAAATCGAAGCTAATATTTGGCGCTCTGTGCTAATCAAGACAACTAAAGACAGTATCAGTTATCTGGTAAGTGCACCTAGATAATAATGATAATTCTGTCGGTACTAGAAAATGATTTCAACATATCGTTTCGTCTCTGAAAAATTGTTTAAAACTGTTAATGAATAAAATTGGGAACCGACTAGTATATCTTCCATACTACTCTTTTTTATAGTGGGCACGACTTTCTACATAGGTTGTTGATAAAGTGCCATGCATGGGCGCTCACAGAAATTCTTGTCAGGGGCGACAAGGTATAACTTTTTGTGAAAGTATACCTGCCACAAAACTTTTTTAAGAGCAGGGACAGCAAACTTTCCTAGGCAAGAGGCAAATCCTAAAAATGCCGAAGGTTCTACACAAAATCGTGCTAAATTTGCAGTTCTTACGGAAATCGCATTCCAAGGCAGGCCAAACTTCAAAGAGTGATTCATTGGGCGATTCTAAGGTGGATGTCATTCCATCAGTATCAGTGGATTTCTACGTAACATTATACAGGGTAAAAAGTATATAACTGAATGATTTAAATTACGCGCCATTTTTGTTAGACGCATTTGAGTAGATGGCGCCGTAGTAGTTGTTGAAAGCACATATGTCCAATTCATCATGGAGCGCTACACGATGCCAGAACGCGTCCGTATTGTTAAAACGTTTTACTTAAATAATGAGTCGATTGTTACAACGATTCGGAAGCTACGGCAAGATTTCGGTCGGAAGAATGTGCCCAGTGACAACCTGACAACACCATTCGTGAGTTGGTGCGCAAATTTGGAGGTCGGGCCGTGTTCGAAATGTGGAGCGCCTTGAGACGTTTGCGGCCATACAAAATTCAGTTAACCCAAGAACTACAGCCTAGTGACCATGAAAGTCGCCGACAATACATTCATGCAATATTGCAGCGTAATACCTAAAATAACGATTTTTACCGACAACTGATAATCAGCGATGAAGCCCACTTCGATATGAACGGATTTGTTAATAAGCTGTATTGTCGTATCTGGACATTAGAGAACCCTCGTGTCATCCATCGACGACCACTACATCCTCATCGAGTTACAGTTTGGTGCGATGTTCGGTATGGAGGTGTCAATGGACCTTACTTCTTTGAAGACGCTGTAGCTAACATGAGGTTCCAGCAGGACAACTCGTCACACAACACACAGCTTGCGAAGAATATTTCCGGGACGTTTAATTTCTCGATTTGGTGATGTCAACTGGCCACCAAGGTCACCAAACTTAACGGCTTCTGACTTTTTTATAGGGATTTTTGAAAAATAGGGCCTATGCTAATAAACCAATTACTGTAGAGTAGCTGAAGAACAATATTATGGAAGCGATTAAAAATAATATTTATAATAAATATGTATCCAGAAACCTGAGAGAAAGTGATGGAAAATGTAATCAAGAGGGCTCAGGTTTGCGCGGCTTCTAGAGGCGGACATTTGTCCGATATTATTTTTCATACATAATTTCTAAGTTTCAGTAAAAGATTAAGATAAAAAAATGGACGTATTTTATTTCATTCCACAAACATTCAAGATACAAACCGGTTAGTTACATATCGGCCACCCTGTATATCAATAATAACTGACGTCCGTCAATACATATCATATTCCATGATAAACTGTGACAGATCACAGTAAAGACTGATCGTGTGACATTCGCCTAAGAAGAAATGTATGTTACATATGAACATATGTAGGTCCGAGGATGCTTCGTTTCCAAAGTACAAGATGTAAAACTTTTTGGAAAATTGGTCTGTTTTTTTTTCAAGAAAATCGTATTATACCTTTAGCAGACTTTGATACGTTTTTATGAAATTTTGTAGGTGCAATCGTACTGCCATCCTGAAAGTCTTTAAGAAAATTATGTTATCAAAACCACAAACTGTGATAACCATCTACACCGTCGACTTAAATTCGTTAAATGTTTCGCTTCTGGGAGATTGGCTTTTACCGGGACATTTTTCTTGTTCATCTTACTTCAATTTTCCGAGATGCAACTGACATACCAAACGACAGAATCTAATAAACGATTTGTACGACAAAAATAATTATGTGGAAAGTCTGGCTTCTTTTATAAGCTCTGTTATATGACATATATGCGTATCCATCAATACTGAATATTCGTATTACCTCACGGGCTTGAAATAAGTGACCAGATATCAGAATCGATCCTAGCGAGGGTGAAACAGCAGATATCTGTTGGAATTATATTGAGTGACAACAAAAGGTAAACACCTACGTGTGTTTATTAGAATTCAAGAATTTTTTACATATCAGTTTATCTGGCCATGAACAACAAGTAATAAAATGGTCAAGTTTTTCTGTTAAGTTTTTGAGGTGGCTACGTGTATTGTCGGTCTGTCGTTAAGAGAAGTTTCTGGGAGGACCAACAGATCCTTACGCAGTGTAACTGTAGTGTGAACGAGCGTGGACGAGCGGTTCTGGATGTCCCAGAGGAACCACAGAGCGACGAGACCGCCGGTTAAGACTTCTGTCTCTAAGAGTCAGATTCAGTAGTACTCGGCCATCGCTAATCAGTGGTTTGAAGAACATAGAAGGATGGTTGGTATGATTATGGTATATTTTCGAATACGATAGTTTGGCCTTTTTTCTTAACACACACATTAGGTGCTACCTCTCACAGCTGAACATCAGCGTAACCGACTGTTCTGGTGTAGAAAAAGTATTCTATGGGACGGGGGATGAAATCAGGTGGTCTTTACTGACTAGTCCCGCTTCTGTCTGGGGATGCACGATGGTTGGGCAAGAGTTATGGTATCAGATCACCACTAATTTGCATTAGAGGCAATATGACAGCCCGACGCTATATTCAGGAAGTAGTGGAGCCTCATTTTATTCCATTCCTAAACATCATCCAAAACCCGATTTTTCAGCAAGACAATACCAGACCGTATGTTGCCAGAATATCGTTAGCCTTCATGGACCAACATCGCATCATCCGTTTACCTTGGCCACCACGATCACCTGACCAGGCTCCAATTGACTTAGCAGTTCTTACTCACGACTTTGCGGTAGCCTGGAATGAGATACCCCAACAGGATACCGACCATCTCATCAGAACGATGCCTAGGCGTGTCAATGAGTCAATCGTGGATCCTCAACACATTATTGAAGCAGCTTCTGCAGTCAATTGACGAATTAAGCTGAAAATTTAATCATTTTACTAGTAAGGGACGCTGAACGTATATGCCAAAAATTATTAAAATCGGATAAGCATACGTAGGTGTTCCTTTGTCACTCAGTATATAAAGGCGTTTCATTTCGCGTCGAAGGTCGAGTAATTATTATGGCCGCTTGATGCTCATATAGTGGGAGATGGTCTAGCCGCCATTGAGAACTAATGATACTGCTTTGATCCGTCCAATCAACAGAGGCCCAACCTGTGTGTAGGTGTTTTGTCTGGTAATAGATGGCACTTGTATTATCGTATTTAGATAGGCCTACCGCGGATGCTTTACTCTACTTTCGTTCCTCGATCTGCTGAGTAAATGGGGAAGTATTACAATCTACGGGCAAAGAAGGGATGGAAATAAGCAAAAAAGTATAGATAAAGCAATCAGGTTACTCTCCGCCAGGGTACAAACATTTTAACACCAAAAACAAAAATGACTGTACACAAAGCGGTATTCAGACCCGTACTCACCTACGGGTGTGGGTCGTGGACCATGAACCGAGCCAAGAGAAACAAGAGACAAGTACAGATATGCCATTTTTGAGTAAGATGAAAGGAATAACATGCAGGGATAGAATGAGGAATGAACAAGTAAGGAATGATTTGGAAGTACATCATCGAATTTGTTGAACAAAGACAATTAGGATGGACAAATCAAGAGGAAGAAAAGGAAGACCGATGGCAAGATCGGATGATATGATGATATATTCTGGAAAAAGTACTGAGGTGCAAAGATATATCATGAAGTGAAGCAGCAATGATAGCGAAGGACTTAGGAGAATGACGTAAGATTGTGAATTAACAGTACACTTTAATTTGACCCGACACCATATTTGGTGAAATGGCGCGAAAGTTTTCAATGGCGAGTAGACCATCATCTGCTATACCACCAAAATCGACAGCATTAAGCGGTTATAGTGATGATTCAGCTCTCCACATTAACAGACGGCTGTTTACCCTCGCAGTGGCTGATTCTTGAATCTGGCCCTTGTACTTATCCCATTTGGATAGATCTCATACGTCTGATAAGGGATACTCTATCCGGCTTTCGCTCGTTGTCCTATGAGACCTATATGTCGCTGATAATTATTAGTTTGAAAGTAATGAGTTTTAATATATAATATATCAATTAGTTTGTTTTATTATAAACGTCAGTCGATATAACCGCACTGAAGATCGCTAATAACGGTATTCCACTGTTCTTCTAAAAGGTCCTCCTCACTTTTTTTTTGAACAGATTAAATTAGTAATTTGGGGTTATGGAATTAGTGCATGAATACTATGTTTTGACGGAAATGTGGGAGTTAAAGATTTTAAATGGCAAATAGGGCGTCATCTTTTGATAACTATTAAATAGGATTGGGAGCCACGTGATCTTCATTAGTACTTCATAACCCTAGAATATCACTATAAGTGTATATTAAAATGACGAACGATCAGGCTGCCTAGTTGAGAATTTAAACAATAGTTAATAATGTAAAAAAATCTGTTTACGTAATACTTGAACGACCCCTAAGAACGTTCAAAATGAAGTGTCACGTGACATTCCATTAAAATGAAAGAATGTTCCAAGATGGTGCCATGCCGTTATGAACTTTTCAAATGTCTCATTTACGTTTATGTATAGTGCATTAATTTCATCAACCAGAAATTTAGAAAGCTTAGTTGCATAAGTTGAAGACGTTTTCGAAAAACACTGCGTATATTAACATAAATGGTGAAAGTGCTGTACAATATTCAATATGCACAACCACCAACATTTAAGAAACCATAGAAATCGTAATGCTATAGGGAAATCTATGATATAGGATAACCCATATTTCACTGAACAAATTAGTGATGACCTGTTGTTGATTTGAAGACGTTTTCCAAAAACGCTGCGTACATTAACAAAAATGGTGTAAGTGCTAATCACTATTCCATATGCACAACCACCAACATTTAAGAAACCATAGAAATCAAAATGATATAGTGAAATCTATGATATATAACCCATATTTCACTGAACAAATTATTGATACAGCTTTCGTTCGTCAACCCTTTGAAGAGATTGATAAACAGTCTATAGGATCTTTGAGTTATAAGGGACTCAATGGACAAAGACGATGGACTTCTCAGATCTCCATTTCGAATAAAAGTGATTTAATATTCTAAGATTTTCAACTGCCAGTTTCACACTAAAACTGTATTTATGCTGCTTGCTAACTTGATCCGTTCAAAAAATAAATAGCTTTTTGAAAAGCTTGCCAAGGGACGAAATCCGCTCATAGTTCTTTGTAAAACAATTACCTAACCGGCCAACCGACGCGTATCACAAAATTTTCTGCATACGCCAATCATAAAGTCACATATTCGTTCCAGGTGTACTGCTTTCTATACATAGAACCGTGCATGAAAACAACCTCTCATCTCGATGAAGCCGTCAAGCTAACTTGCAGGCTTTCGACAAAACTGCCGCACAATTCAACGAATCTCAGCTATGTTTCATTACAAAGGAAACTGGATTTGTTGAATAAGCAACTTACCTCGTGTAAGCCATACTTTTCTGCAAGTGGCCTTTTTGATGTAGATTATGCTATATTTTCATATATTTTTGCAGGAATTTCATCTGTCGTTATTGTTTATGTACAATTGATGTAGGTCCAATAAAGAGATAGACATAACCTATAGATGTTCTAATTACCATTGTAAGTTCAAATATGGTTACTAAAAATTAGCTACACCAAACTGTATGTTAATTTTGACTTTTTTGCTGCAAAAGGTCTATTTGGAAATGTTAATAAACAACAGACCATCGATTGTCAGGCAAACTCAGCCAACCGAGATATTTCTCGAGCAGCGAAGTAGCAACTTGTGCTCTTAATACACAAATAATCACTTTATCTAACAATAAGTAACGCAGAATGATTGCTGAAAATGCAATCTAACTTTTCTGGAAGTAGGAGTAATAGCAAAATAATAGTCCATCTTAACATCGTAACAGATTCTTAAGCAGCGCATCTAAGAGCGAATTCCCTTGTGACAGTTGAAAGGCGGAGGATGCGAGATACGTCTAGAGGGTCGCAGGTCTCCACGACTTGGGTCTAGTAAAGTAATTTTTACATACTGTATGCTTTACGAACAGAAAGTTGTTCGTTGATATGACAAACATGAATTCCTGGAACGCACTGGGCTATATATTAGACCTAATTTGTGTAATTTTAGTATTGGTTTCCGAAAAACCATGTCAGGGATTCCTATTATGCTAAGGTGGGAGTATATCTCAATGTTCTGGTGTATATTTATACGCTTCCAACCCCAGCACCTATTAGACATATTTCACGTATAGATTTACCATTTTTCCATAAATTTTGCTCTTACAAGGCTTAGATTATTTTCAATCAAAGAAGAACATACCAGTCCCGTAGGAAGCTGTATCTGGGTTCACATTCTCATCGTTATACAATGAGAAAACTTCACAGTGCCCTAAAAGTATCCTAGCTGAAAATTTTGAGATAGCAGTTCGCATACAGTAGTGAGTGAGCTATTTAGACCGGCGTTTAAAAAATTTTCTTAGTTATGATGGTTTCCAAATGGAGTAAGAAGAGAAAATACGACCTCACGAGGGTCAATTGCATTTACTAGTTTTGAATTTAAAATACAGACCTAAATATATAAATAACACTGGTGAACAAAATTAAAATATTTTTTGTGACATAGACAAAACAAGGTAGTTATTATGTAAAACGTACCCAAAAATCCGGAAATAGCATTCGATTGTTTCTATCACCCATGGTTTTCTTGCAATAAGGCATTTTATTTGCTGCTTATACTCTTAAAATATAAGGATATGTGTGTAAGAGTACTAATAAACACTCCAATAAACATTAATCTCAGCATGTTGTTGTAGATATTTTACGGCGATATGTTGCTCCTGAAGTATCTATTAACAATGTTCAGTAATAATCAGCAAGCAAATTGACATTCCATTTGCCTTGATACCGTTCTTCCATAGCAGAAACGTCTTGGTGGAACCGTTCACCATGTTCATCACTTACCGCACCTAAATTTTCCGGAAAAAAATCGAGATGAGAATCCAAAAAGTGAATTCTTAGAGACATGTTACATCCCATTCCTTTATAAGCATTAATTAGTTCACTCACAATATCCTTATAATTGTCCGCCTTCACATTGCCTAAAAAATTTGCAGTAACTGATTCAAAAGCATTCCAAGCTCGTAATTCAATTTCATTTAGAGCACTGTCAAGTGCATCATCCTTCATGATCTTCCGTATTTGTGGATCCCCAAATATGCCCTCCATAATTTTTGCCTCACCAAGTCTCGGAAGTGTTTCTTTTAAATGCAGAAACCCTCTTCCATTTCGATCCATAGCTTTCACAAAATTTTTCATCAGTCCCAACTTAATATGCAAAGGTGGAAGCAACACGTTTTTGGGATCAACTAGTGGTTCATGAGCAATGTTTTTGAGGCCCGGAGTATCTGACGTAGTGGTCAATCATTCAGTTCATAATGACGATCTCGCGCACGACTGTCCCATTCACAAAGAAAACAACAATATTTGGTATATCCCAGTTGCATTTCAAGAAGAAGGACCTTTGAATCTGCACATATGGCCCATCCATATTCATTTTAACGGATATGCTCTAACAGAACTCGCATATCTTCATGTGATTCCTTTATATGAACTGCGTGCGCTATAGGTACAGATGGATATTTATTACCGTTGTGTACCAATACCGCTTTTAAACTAAGCATAAAGGAATCAATGAACAGGCGCCAAACATTTGGATCATGTTTCTGTCCTAACGCGTCAAATAAATTGTTGACATCGGAGCAATACATCAACTCCCTTTCTTGACGGAAACAGTGTGTGAGGTCTTGTTGCCGTTTTCGGTAAAAAGTAATGTTAACATCACAGTGGAGAAGATTCGATCCTTTTAATCTTGACGCTGAAAGTTCTGACTGGGATTTTGACAGATTTAATTCTGTATGATCAAATGCGGCGCTATTGAACATCCTGGCAGGTCAAATGGTGGATTCGACTTTTTCATCCAAGGTTCTGGTGGAAGTGGGACAGAAAGTTCATCACTATGCTTAACGGGCAGCAAAGCTGATGACAAATTAAAATACTTAACAGTATGTTTCGATTTTGGTCCAATACCTTTAATATTTGTGAAGCAAAAATAGCAACCAGTAGTGTAGTCTCTCGGTTGTCTTCAAACCATTGGTACCGCAAAGGGCATTTTACGATTGACGCGTCTTAACTAACCTGTTAACAACAGTACACAAGTCTTACAACATATATGAGGGGCATATAGTTTATCTTGGTCGCCAACTTTAATCAAAAATAAAGTTCGTATGCTTTCAACACAAGGGGAGTAAGAGTACGTTTCTGGAATTTAAAAGTTAGCTCTCCGCACATATAACAAAAACTGGTCGCACTATGTACACAATTCCTAGGCACTGTTCATAAAGCTAGTCTCAATCACAATAAACTATAAACAACACACCGTTTTTAAAAAAATTAACAGTACTCAGAACATCTCAGTACTCTTCAACACAGAAAACGTAACTGACTCGGCTGCTATTAGTCCACTAATAAACGCAATATGCTCTCTAAACATAATAGGAATAGACAGGTCTTAACATTATATATGTGCGTCATCGCATAAACGCCGAGAAATGCAGCAATATGAGATGTTGCGTATTGTAATTCATAAACGTAGATGTTACCGAATATCTGTGTGTGATAGAAAAATTCTGTTTTTAGATTTGATTTAAGGGTCTCAAAATACATAAGACACACCCAAATACTGTCATGTCACAAATCCTGTGTTTATCAGCGTAACTTAGTTGGAGATGAACTGGTATTAAAACCTGGAAAACATTCCACCGTGAGAAGAGCCAAAAGTGTTAAATCAAAGTATGTTGTATTCTAAGACTTCTAAGAAAATGTCAGAACGTTCTGATATATGTTCAGCGGAATTTTCGTTGAATTATTGACAAGATATCCGAACATTCTGATTAACCTACAAATATAATGACCTATTCATGAAAATTGATATCATGATTTTAATCACCTTCGGCAGATGTTTAGATCAGGAACGGAAATATTCTTCCTACAGTTCTGATAAATATACTCGTATTTGGTATAATTGTAGTCACCGTTCTTGGCGGGTCAAAGTAAGACTACCAGTATACCCCTATATATCCCCATCTCCCTCATCCATAGACATGCGACCTATGTCATACTTTTTTTAGTTGTGTGTTTCCGTCTCGAAAACTTTGTCGTTGCGTATGAGTGCCCTTAAATTATATTTGTCAAGGTGACAACTTACTTGACATCAGCGTGCAATTCCAGTTGTCCTGTTGTCAATCTTCAATATAAAATTGTACAATGCCCCCGGTACGATCAATGGAGAATGCCGACAGCTCGTGCTAAATTTATTAGAGTATTTCCAGAGAGATAATGAAAACAGCGGTCCCCTGTTACCTACTTCATACGTACTGGAGGGAGTAGCAGATGCGCTGAAGATTAGCCTGTGTTCCGCCCATGGTACGGAGACTCGATCTGTTTACTTATTTCATATGGCGTTGGTGACGTAACGACCAAGAACAGTGACTACAGCTATATCATGGTACCACCTAAAGGCTACCTTACAAACGCAAATTTTCGGGCCACACTCCACCCAGTAGTGGTTGCAGATGCAGATGTCACGCCTGACGTCTTGCGCGTGACGGGCTACACCCAACTAACAATTATCACTCCTTTTAGAGTTGCAACAATGATTATAGAGTATTCCTTACACAGCATTGTATACTGTAAGAACATTTGCAAAACCCTCTTAGAGCACCTATACAAGCGGAACGGGCACACCTAATAGGACACTTCAGTCATTTAAGAGGTTGTGTAAGGGCTGCAGGTAAGTTATACAACAAAAGTGTAAGCCTCTTGCAGCCGCTATAGGACATTTGCGTCAGTGCAAGATTCAGTTTTTGTCAACTATACAACTATTCTGCTACGTGATTCTACTTTATTGCAACCAAACTATTTCTTATGTATTGTATAGACTATAGACGAAGTAAAGAGTATATAACTAACACATTACAGTCATCTTGTCTACTTACATATGGGCCAATGTCAATTTCATACACAGGTATATGACAAACTTCTACACTGTGATATAGGGCTATTGAATTACTTGTGCAGCAAATTTTATTGTGATTATCGTGCAAAGTAGTTACGCAATTTCTACGGGATTCGTATTTGATTCATATTTTGATAATGATCAAAGTATGTCTAGATTTTTAAGATGGAAAACTGAACTTATCTGCTTTAAATCTTCCACAAGTCCTATATTTAGACACAATTACACTAATGTTTATCACTTTATATCTGTAATTTCGAACTGAAACATAAATATTTAATATTAAATAGAGGAATACATGCTTACCCAATATGGCGGGTGGTTGTGTATAATCGTGGCATCGTCCATGTTGTCTTTAGTTTATTAGAATATTTTGGTGTTGCCTGCAGGTGTTATACAACAATTTGACAAATGTCTGAAATGAAATACCGACAGAGTCGAATGATTTACCCAGAATTTGTACCAGATCTATATCTTCTGTTTGAACAGTTGATAAAACCTTTTGAACCAAT